CCAAACCCAAACCCAAACTCCAAACCCAAACCCAAACCCAAACCCAAACCCAAACCCAAACCCAAACCCAAACCTAAACCCAAACTCCAAACCCAAACCCAAACCCAAACCCAAACCCAAACCCAAACCCAAACCCAAAACCCAAACCCAAACCCAAACCCAAACCCAAACCCAAACCCAAACCCAAACCCAAACCCAAACCCAAACCCAAACCCAAACCCAAACCCAAAACCCAAACCCAAAACCCAAACCCAAACCCAAACCCAAACCCAAACCCAAACCCAAACCCCAAACCCAAACCCAAACCCAAACCCAAACCCAAAACCCAAACCCAAACCCAAACCCAAACCCAAACCCAAACCCAAACCCAAACCCAAACCCAAACCCAAACCCAAACCCAAACCCAAACCCAAACCCAAACCCAAACCCAAACCCAAACCCAAACCCAAACCCAAACCCAAACCCAAACCCAAACCCAAACCCAAACCCAAACCCAAACCCAAACCCAAACCCAAACCCAAACCCAAACCCAAACCCAAACCCAAACCCAAACCCAAACCCAAACCCAAACCCAAACCCAAACCCAAACCCAAACCCAAACCCAAACCCAAACCCAAACCCAAACCCAAACCCAAACCCAAACCCAAACCCAAACCCAAACCCAAACCCAAACCCAAACCCAAACCCAAACCCAAACCCAAACCCAAACCCAAACCCAAACCCAAACCCAAACCCAAACCCAAACCCAAACCCAAACCCAAACCCAAACCCAAACCCAAACCCAAACCCAAACCCAAACCCAAACCCAAACCCAAACCCAAACCCAAACCCAAACCCAAACCCAAACCCAAACCCAAACCCAAACCCAAACCCAAACCCAAACCCAAACCCAAACCCAAACCCAAACCCAAACCCAAACCCAAACCCAAACCCAAACCCAAACCCAAACCCAAACCCAAACCCAAACCCAAACCCAAACCCAAACCCAAACCCAAACCCAAACCCAAACCCAAACCCAAACCCAAACCCAAACCCAAACCCAAACCCAAACCCAAACCCAAACCCAAACCCAAACCCAAACCCAAACCCAAACCCAAACCCAAACCCAAACCCAAACCCAAACCCAAACCCAAACCCAAACCCAAACCCAAACCCAAACCCAAACCCAAACCCAAACCCAAACCCAAACCCAAACCCAAACCCAAACCCAAACCCAAACCCAAACCCAAACCCAAACCCAAACCCAAACCCAAACCCAAACCCAAACCCAAACCCAAACCCAAACCCAAACCCAAACCCAAACCCAAACCCAAACCCAAACCCAAACCCAAACCCAAACCCAAACCCAAACCCAAACCCAAACCCAAACCCAAACCCAAACCCAAACCCAAACCCAAACCCAAACCCAAACCCAAACCCAAACCCAAACCCAAACCCAAACCCAAACCCAAACCCAAACCCAAACCCAAACCCAAACCCAAACCCAAACCCAAACCCAAACCCAAACCCAAACCCAAACCCAAACCCAAACCCAAACCCAAACCCAAACCCAAACCCAAACCCAAACCCAAACCCAAACCCAAACCCAAACCCAAACCCAAACCCAAACCCAAACCCAAACCCAAACCCAAACCCAAACCCAAACCCAAACCCAAACCCAAACCCAAACCCAAACCCAAACCCAAACCCAAACCCAAACCCAAACCCAAACCCAAACCCAAACCCAAACCCAAACCCAAACCCAAACCCAAACCCAAACCCAAACCCAAACCCAAACCCAAACCCAAACCCAAACCCAAACCCAAACCCAAACCCAAACCCAAACCCAAACCCAAACCCAAACCCAAACCCAAACCCAAACCCAAACCCAAACCCAAACCCAAACCCAAACCCAAACCCAAACCCAAAACTCCTAAGGATGGAAGCAAGTTTTGTTGGTTTTTCAGAAGCAGCAATCAAGGCAATTGGCGATTGGAATTCGGACGTGGTCGACAGATAATTTTGATCTGAATTCTCAGGTTCACGTAATGTGTCCCAACACATTGGTTTTTAGCTAGTAGGACTTATAATTCTTCGATTTTACTCGTTGGATTGCTAAACTTGATGATTAATAGTTAATAATTAGGTGATGAATCGTGTTGACTTTATGGAATAACAAAGGAGGAGCAAATTTTTTCAACATTATCATTAAATTTGCTTTTAGTTATTGGCAACGACCTTCAATGTTTCATATGTTAATGCATAATTTTGAGAGGAGTCCTTTGTTCTCACTGAGAGTGAGCCATCTTCGTTCAAACACAAGAACAGAGGCATTTGTTGAGATGTGAATTCGTTGGTAAAATACAGTATACGATATTCAGTGGAATCTGTATCAAAAATTGAAACCTTCTTGTCTGAAATATTAAGTACAACCTGTTTGTCTGCTTTAGTTCCATTAAGCTCAATATTCCAAATAATCTGAGAGGTGTGATGATGGTTGACCACTCTGAGACCATTCCTGACTAAATTTAATTGATAACCACCTTTCTTCGATATTAAATGTGAATCTTCCTCAAAAGACATCCACATCTCCATCTCGCTTCGATCTTGCAATCTCCATAAAGACATTTCATCAGAAAATACAAACTTGTGAACTTCTGTTTCCCTTGGTCTGAATATATCAATCAATAAAGCAATGACTCCAATGACAATAAATATTGCTCCAATGACTGAAAGTGCCATTGATGACACAAATAGTCCAATAAACATGGCAATGAGTTCACCAACAGCAGCACCAATCATTATTGCATTCAAAGCGATTCCCCAAGTATCACCTGCTTTGATTGAATCTAATAAATCAAACACTGACATTGCAATTGCTAATACTTGTAAAATGAATTGACAAACTCTGGATAACATTTTAAGTGCCTTGAATAAGAAGGCTGAGATCTTTGTCCATAATGTCGTCAAAGTCTTTACAGCCTTACTTAAAAAAGTTCCCAATGCTTGAACAAATGGTTTAGTGTTTAACAACACCATTCTGTTTGCGAAACGTTCCCAGAAACCCAAGGAATATCTAAAGATCTTATCAACTCCTTGTACGAGAGGCTTCAAGGCATCTTTAAGCATGAAGGTGACCAAAGTTGTGACAGTAATGATTTTTTGCTCCAAAGACAAACTGTTAAAGTCTCCAAACATTCCAAGTAAAACACTTGACACAATACCAGCAGCGAAACTCAACATGGAGCAAAACATTTTCATGCGAGAGGCAGGAATTCGACTGAAAATAAATTCATGAAAGGAAGACTTTTTCGAGAGCTGTGCCAATTTTTCTGCCAGCAAAGCGTCATCTTTGATGAATTTTTGGGCTGCTCCAATGACACATGAGAATTGATACAAGGCAATAGATAATTCGTACTTTTGTCGAGCTTGCTGAGTGAGTTCTCTCAATGCTTGTTGTACCAATTGTTCATCTACCAAGTGATCAGCAGAGTTGTCGAGAGCTTGTAAAAATCTTTCGATAAATTCATTTCCAGGAATGGTGGTCAGATTCATGTCATCATCCAACGAATTAATAAAATGATGAGAGATGATTCGATCAAGCATTCCAGAAACCATGTACATGGTCAGCTCTTTGGAACATGCTGTTGAAGGATCCAGAATGTTCATTTTAAAAATCCATGAGTTGAGCTTTTGTTGAATTTCATCTTGAAAAGATGTCACATTTTCCAACATGCCAATGAGCTCAATAATGACATGAGGTTGTTTCAATGTTGTTAACATTTGTTGTGCCCAGAATGCTGATCCTCTTGCTTTTTGATCATCGAGATAGGCCTGCATTTTAGACACAGCTTTCATGTAACCGTATCTGTAGAGGAGATTGGTCTGGTGGACATAGTTAGGATCATAACCACATCCTTTATCAAGGAAGGCTTGCACTCTCTTAATATCAACACTGTCGGTTGCAGAGTCTCTATTCTTTGAATTATAGACAACATGTGCAATGTATGGAACTGCATACTTGGCATAAAACTGCTCTGCAGTTTCTTCTCCCTGAATATTGGTATTCAAAATATTTCGAAGTTCATTGTCGAGATAGGGTTTGTCGTTCTTTCCAAAAAAGAATTTTCTCCAATCTTCTTTCATGCAGTACAACATTAAGGTCATAAATCCATCACTGGCATATATTTGAGCCTTATCAACATATTTATCTTGATCCTTAAAGAGAGGAGATAAGCTCAACAAGTCTTCTACAGAGAGTTTCGCATCTCCGCTGTTGTATTGCTTTGGCTTTTCAAACTTTCCATCCAAGATTCCTTTCATGACAAAGAGTTTATCACTTGAATTTCTCTTGAAATATCCATACAAGTGATCAGCAGTTTCATTGAAATGCAAATTAAAGTTGGTAATGACATCTGGATTCTGCTTTTGTGAGACATCTTCATTGACAAGACGATACACGAGAGAATCTCTTGTGATGGCCAACTCGACAACTTCTTCATTGAGTGTATATGCAAGTCCAATCTGATTATGGGAATCGACATGAGAGACAATTTTCAAAGTTTTCCATAAAGTACTTGCAGCCACGTCAACGGCGTCGTGCTTATTTGCATCATACTCTTCAGTGGTGATGTAAAGCTTGTACGAGGAGGTGAGTGGTGGAATGACTTGGAAGTCCTCAGTGTCCACAGTAATTCGACCAGAAAAATGTTCTTCATCCAATCGATATAGAGAAACGGACACGAATGGAGAATCATTGGTTGCTGGTGAAGTAAAGTTAAGCTTCTGATCACTTGAAAATTCCTTGTTCACATCAAAAACTTGATCTCCGACAATTAAAAACAAACAGAGATTTTGCTTGACAGCAATTTTAACAACTTTTTCACTCTTTGTGAAGAGTGTGTATTGTTTGGCGGCAGATGGCATGAGAAGGGTTTCAAGCAAATTGTTTCTAAATTTTCTTATGAATTCAAAAAAACGAAACAATCAGAGACAAATTTTTTGACTGTTGTGTCAGTGATCGCTCTATGAGACTCTCTTTGTGATAAATAATTTTATTTTGGTTTGTCCTATCTTGTATTGATCTGTTCACGAGTTTTCATCCTTTTTCAAGAGAAAGTTCATGTCGTTCATGAACAGAACACTCATGAAAATTGCTTCTTTTTTAATTATTATTTGTTTACATATGGAAAAATTAACTGTGTTTTGAATAAAATTAATGTTTATGAAAATTTGTATACATTCAGCAAGATCTACAGTCTTTGTTGACTCTAAGGATGTACATACCAATAGTCTCCATCATCTCTATTGGTGTTTCCAAAGACAACCTGTTGCTTGCTCACATTCGTTTGAAATAGATGTGAGGAAGACAATGCTACATTTGTGTTGCAATGAATCAAACGAAACAATGCAGCTCTCTGGAAAAAGTGTTGTCCATTAGACATCTCAACTCTCCAGTTGTCATTTGAATCACCAAGCCCATTCTCTCCAAAACCTGTAACTTCTTGCTGAAAAGGTGTTACATTGGGAGCATTGACACCTTGATGAGAATGTAAATTCTTGTGAGTGGATTTGTGAGTCAATCGAATTACGGCGTTGTTTGAAATTTTAGATCCATCCTTAATTGAGGGTTCGTTGTGACCTTCTTGCTCATGAGAACATTTCACAATCCAGTAATCGTTATCATCAGATCCTGAGAAGCATGTAATTTCTTGCTGGTGAGAACCTGTATTGTAATTGATCGCATGTGAATGCAAACGATGATTCGTGTTGGTATGAGCAATTTTAATGACATCACCATATTTCACAAAACCCTTTCCGTTCTTGTCTTGGTCAATTTCATGATCTTCTAAAGCAATTCCTTTCATACAATATTTTGTTTCAGATGCATCTCGCCGTTTTTCATAAAATCCACTCAATCGATCTTTTAAAAAATTAAAAGTTAAAACAAATTTGTTAATTTGTCCATCCAGAGCTGTAATGTTTTCATAGAGAAGAGTGGTTCCTTCACGAGAAGAGATGGTTCCATCGAGTGGTGCCAATGCAGGATCTGTATTATCCAGTAATTGATAATGAACGGAAAATTTATCATTTTCTCCCTTACTGTATGAAATGTACAGCTTTTTCCATTCTGAAAAGAGAGAATGTTCCAAGTTTTGCTGAGAGTAGATTTCATCAGATATAAAGAGTTGAAAACGAGTGGTAAATTTGTGGAATACTCGAATGATGATTGGAGAGCTATTGTTGGAAACTTGTTTGGTGACCTGTCCAATGAATTCATTATCAGAAAAGTGGAGGTCTAAATGAATACCAGAATCAGGAATGTTGTAAGAAATGGAAGAGCTTGTCAATGTGAGATTGTTCAAAGAATAAATATTATCATCCATGTTGAAGTATTTCAATTTCATCTCTGAGCCATTCCCTGAAGCCATCAAGGACATGTCCACTTGTTCAAAGTTGAAAAGAGTGTATGTGTTCATGATGGATGTTTTGTTCGTGTGATTTTTTAAAAGTCTGGTGTAATTTGGGCCTGGATTCTTAAATTCACTTTGTGATATTGATGGAACGAATTAACTTTCAAAAAAGGATTGAACGACTTGAGACATGAATTTAAGCCTCAAAAAAAATGTCCTTCTTAGAGAATATCAGTGAAGCTGTCAAGAAAATTATTGACGTCTCAGATCGTGCCATCATTATTGATCCAACAGTTGATCGCAACGAGTTGGAAAGTTTTGCTGGTTTTCCTTGTGAAGTTTCATTCATTCATGAAGCAACCAAGAAATCTTCCATTTGCAGTTTAAACAATGACATGATTGACTTTTTCTTTCATGACAGTGGTTGCTCTGAACGAGCTCCCTTTGGAGGAAACTCAAAATTGCAAAAATTTGTGGCTTGCCATTCCATATTGGCCCTCAATAATTACGACGTTCATCGAAATAGATTGGATGTCGAGAAGGCAAACAATGAAAAGGTTTCAGTTGGTCGTGACGTTGAAAATGATGATGGTTTAATGAATGTCATTTTCCAATTGGGTGTTCAAGATCACTTTCCAACTGTGTGGAATCATCGAAAGGAGTATGCCAACACTTATTATTCCTTATTGATGAATAACAATTTTTTATTGCAAATGTTGGAGAATTTCAAACCAACTTCGGGAGGTTTAATTGAGAAGAGCGATTTTCTTGCTTTTTTATTTGCCAAGTTGAAAGTTTTGGACTTGGAAAATGAATATCTTCCCAAAGTTCAGGCCTTTTATGAAAAGTTATGGTCAGATTATTCTGTTGGTTCTATGTGGAGATTTGCTAAACTAGAATTTTTTGACAGCACTCGATTTTCACAAGAGGATTTCAAGTATGCAAGAGAACATGACTCATACCTTACTGCAGTAGGAAGATTTGTCAGACAAGGTTATCGAATTGTTGATAAAATTCAGCATCACGATCCATTCAAGCAGTACTACAAAGCACCAGATGGTGGGTGTATTCTTTTGTAAGGCTTAGTATTTATGTTGAGAGGAACAACCACAATCTAACAGTTATAAACACAACTTTATTGGTTCTTGTCATTGGGTTTGTTCTGTTGTTGTTAACATTTCGACACAATTCGCAAATCTTTTTGACATTAATGAGTGTACAATACATTTCCATTGCTGTTGGAAGCATTCTCCAACACAGTAACAACACCATTGCTGTCAAGCTTTAAGGTAACCTTTGAATTCACATCGCTCGCATGTTTGGTATATTCCAGAGTTGCAACTGTTGAATAAGCATCATTCTTAGTCTCTACCACAAGAAATCCAGTTGATCTCAATAGCAACAATGGACTGGAGGCTTTGTTATCGAAAGAAAGAATTGTGCTAGCAATATGACCATTCTTTCTCACATGAATTCCATTAGTGTCAACTTGTAAGGAGTAATCACCGCGTTCAAGCTTGTCTCCATACTCAAGACCTGATGGCTTGGTGATTTGGCTAATCACATTGGTAACAAGGAATTGTTGCATGTCAGATTCTCGAGAGAACGCTTTAACATCTTCATTCTTTTTTGGAAGGAACAATTCAACCAAGGTCAACACAAATATAACAGCAGAACACAAAGCAGCTCCCAAGGAAGCAGCAATACCTGTCACTGTAAATAGAGACACTGTCACAAACACAGCCTGAATAATAGAGAATGCCATAATCATGCAATAAATAACTGCACGACCGGTGTCTCCATTCTTCAAAGCAGTGGTGAATTGAATTCCAGCAATGACCGAACTAATAATGGAACCAATAAGAGTGATCATTTTGATCCATCCGGCAGGTCTTGAAAGGTTATATTTGAAGCTTTTCATGCCATATCCATCGGGTTCAACAGCATTAAAGTGTGCCACAATTTTTCTCCATACTGTTGGTTGTGCAATCATGGTACCATTTGCAGCAACATAGAGATTGGTTCTGTAGTTAAAATCAATCGTTGTAAACATTTTGAAAAGGGCAAAAGAAGCCGACAAGGTAACCTGAATAATGTTGGTCACCAATGCAACAGTATCGAGAACAGTATCTGGCCCTTTCACTAAAGCATAGATAGAAATTCCAAAAGAGAACAATTGAGCAGTGATACTCAATCCAACGGTAATCTTTTCAAATTTGCCTTCTGGAATCAATTTTTGCAAAGCATACCTTTTGTGATTTGCGCTGTTTCCCCAATCAGTAAGTGCTTGTTGAAGAGAAGCTTGAGAGGCACCATTCATCTTGAATGAATAACAAATGAATGCAATATTCACAAGGGAGTCCAAAAGTTGAACAGAGTCAGAGACAAAGTTAACAATTGCATCGAAATCACTATCTTCTTTGGCCAAGTCTTCCAAGAGCTTGAGGAATGCCTTTCGATCTTGTTCATCTGCAACGAAGGTAGTGTTCATGTCATCATCCAAATAGTTATCTGGACTTGATGCAGCAGCAAATGCATTCATCATGATTAAGGTCGACAATTTCTTGGACAAGTATTCTCCTTGAAGTACAGACATTTTGGCTGTCCATTCATTGAATATTTTCTTAATGGCCGAGCTGTCTTTTTGGAAGTCAGGAGAGCTCAAGATATTCTTCACATAATCTATATATTCTTGAGAAGAGTAATGGTAAAACAAGCGTTGTGCCCAATAGTCATAACCAATTCTCGATTGATCTTGCATGTAACTGATGACTTTAGGAACAGCCTTCTTGTAGCCATATTTATAAAGAAGAGCGTTTTGATTTTGATAATTCACATCTTCAAGAACTTCTCTCTCCAAATAATTGTTGATTCTATGAATGTTTGGCTTGGTATCAAAACTGTCAAGAATTTCACTCTTATTGCCGTTAATCAACATTTTGCTAATAAGAGGATAGGAATACTTTCTATAAAAATCACGAATAGTAGCTTGACCAGGAATGTTCTTCTCAGAAATTTCATACAATTCACCAGAGAGAGGTACCTTTGTTCTTGAGAAGAAGGTGTTGAAGTAACGTTCATCCATCTTATCGAACAAGATTGTTAAGAAACCTTCTTGGGCATATTGAAGAGCAACGTCATGCTTGTCCTTCATTTGGGTGAGTGAGATCAGATCAGACAAACTCAAATTTGAATCATGTTGAACCAATTGAGTAGAGGTGTGGTCATTTAAAGAAAATCCTTTCATTCTATACTTTTTCTGATCTTGCTTCTTGATCAAGAATCCTGAAAAAGCATTAGTGAAAGGATCTATTTGCAACTCCATATGCGAAAATTCAGTACCATGTTGACCGAATTCATTTTCAATAGAAATACCACCCAAATACACCACACTGTCCACATGAACATTGTCAAGAGTAATCTTACTTGTCAATGAATTTTTCTTGTCAAGGTTGATATCGACTTTGAGAGTTTTAAAGTTGGAGTAGGTGGCTTGATCACTCTCCTTGTCATCTTGCTTGACGAAACTCTGATCAGAAAGTTGTAATTGATAGGTACAACTGAAAGGAGAAAATACTTTGATCATTTGTCCAGTATTCAATGTCAAAATCCCAGCATAGTGGTTGAGATATTTCTTCAACTTGATGTCCACCTCATCATTCTTGTGGACAATCTCATTTGTGAGTGGCACATTTTGCAGTTCATAGGAAACTTTTCCAACTTGAAGATGAGTAACCTTGTCTCCTGTCTTAATCAGATCAACAGTGTTTGGTTCAAAGGTTAGCAAGTGTAATCTTTCTGATGATGGCATAGAAAGAGCTCTTTCAGTGAATGATCGACGTGAAAATGAATTTTTTTGTGATTTGTTTTTTGGGCTGGTGTGAAAAGTTAACCCTTCCAAAAAAGAGCGCTTCATGTCTGCGACAAATCGTGAACCCTTCACAGAACGCTGATCAACGACAACAAAGTCATCTGATAAGTACTTACCGAACAATGATTTTTTGACGAATTTGTAATTAATTCATTGTTTTGTGATATTGATCCCATTATGCTACTCGTTGCCTGATTTTCACTGAATAATTGTTGTCCATTTCAGATTACAACGAGAATATACAGCAAATATAATTCTTCACGATTTCACACTGTTATTTCTAACACATAAAAAAAAAAGTAAAACACAACAAGAACAACAAATTATCTCAAATGCCAAAGACTACTGTTCATCAACTCTACAATCAAAGTGGCAAAAACGTTACTTTGATGGAGACAGCAGACACTGTTCTCAACATTTCCATTGAGGACTACGTCCAAGTAATCAACAAGACCTTCGTGAACAATGTTCTTGAATTCACTTACACTCCACCTGAAGATCATGAAGATGATGATTTGTTTTTCCAAACCAAAATCACACGTGATACCTCTCACACTCCAAACAGATATTATGGATTTGTCAAGCTCGGCAGTGAAACCATTCAAATCATTGTTCCATCCAAGATGAGCTACAAGTTGTATCTCTCAGACACTATCAAGGTCTCAGAGACATCCACTACTCTCCCAACGGATTTCAAGTTTTGGAAGACCTTGGAAGTTACCATTCAAATGAAGCAGGAGGATCATTCAGTGGGAACTTCTTATACCTTGGATGGTAAAGAATGTGATGACATTATTCTCTACAACGATGCCCTTACCTATAAGAGTAAGGACATTTCTGAAAAGATCTACGTCTTTTCTCTGGACTACTCCTTGACTACAGATGTCTTACTTGGAAGATATCAAAAGAGAGGTGACAAGCAAGATGATAAGACCAAACTCTATCCAAGTTATTGGATAAAAGCTGAGCCAGAAGGACATTATAAACCTGTTTCTGATTTTACCCATTCAGGTCTTACCTTAAAGGAGTTGATTGAGTTGAGCCCATACGAATTGGAGGTAGATGATAAGGATTCAACCAAATCCAAGATGGTGGATAAAGCATCTCGTGAATGTGCAGTAGCATTTGATACTTTGGTTCGTTACTGTATGGATGATGATTTGAGATCCATGTTTTTCAATCAGCACAAACCAACTTTGGACGCCGCTCTTCAAGATATCTTGAATCATAGCATTCCTGGTTATGCACAAACTGCATCTGATTTTTACAAAAAGTATTCCATCGCCTACTTGGCACACGCATTGGAAACCTCAAGCAAAGATGAGGCATTGAAGAAAGTGGATTTCAAACGAGTGACCAATTACATTCGAGATGGTGTTATTCAAGATGCCAATTATATCACTCAAAGCAGCTTGCTCTATAATTATGGTTATAAAAGAGCTGTGAAGAGAATTGTTGATTACATCCAAGATAGCACTAATACTTCCAAAACATATTGGGCTGAGCAACTCTACTTGTACTACTCACAAGAGAGCGTTTTAACAAAGATTGTTCAGAGTCTCTTAGTCACTGATACTACAGATAAGGAACGATCAAAGACATTCATGAACTCAATCATGTTCAAAATGAATTTGCTGGATCCCAGCCAACGTTTTTCTCAAAATCTCTATGAGAAAATTATGGTTGCCATGTATAATGAGTCATCTCTTGAATGGATGAGACAGTTTGTGATGAATGAAGAAGAAGTTCTGAAACATCCTGAGGATCACCAAGATGAAATTAACACCTTTGCGCAAATGTTGGAGGATACTGCCAAACGAATGAGTGACACTCTTCAACAACAACTGCTAGAGGATTTAGCTCGAATTGTTAGAACAAATCTTCAAGCTGGACTTGAGTTGTATATCATGGCCATGCGTTGTAATGTTGACAAATCCTTCCTGCCAGAAAACAAGTCTCTCACTAAATTCTATGACAAGTGGCAGCCAAAGAGCACTATTGGCAAGATGATCAAAGAGGGTCTTCCTAAATCATTTGGAAGACTTGCTTTCGGTTCACTCTCTGTTATTGCAAATGGTTTCAGCATGTATTTCATTATGAGTGCAGCAGGTTCATTCAGTTCGTTACAACCAGCTGAAAAAGCGATGGTTATTGCAACTCTAGGTAAGTGTGTGATTTCATAGGAGATTAGTAACAACTGATTCAAAACTAATGGTGTTACTGATTATATATATATTTTGGTAATATTCAAAGTTTTCATGGGTGTGGATGCCATTTCTCAAACCATTGCTCGATCTGTAAAATTGATCAAGGACTATCGAAGACTTAAAGCTGCTGGTCAAGCCATGTTTGAATCAATAGAAATGGTGGAACTCAATCGTTCTGGACCAGAACATGGTGAATCCTATAGATTGATGGCAAAAGAAGGCTTACAAAATACCAAGAGTTCTTTTGCCAAGAGATTTAGAGAAAATCTAAAAAGCATTGATGGAATGATGAGAGTGATTGGTGCCATTGGTATTGCAGTGAATATTGGTTTCACAGTTTACAGCTTGATTAAGGCCATCCAATCAGGAGATCCAGCAGCTATTGGTTTGAACTCGGCACTCATTTTGACTCAAGTCGTGGAGGGAATTACTTTGGTTCTGTCTCTCGGATTACAAGGATCCGGTGCAGTGGCCAATGCTGTCATTGGTAATATTGCTTCTGTCATTTCATTGGCCTTAATTATTGCCATGTTGTTCCAGAAACAACCGACCACCATACAAGCGTTTGTTGGGGATGATCGAATGGCCTATTATCGTTTCCATGATATGAATGAAATTCCAACTTTCAACAACTTTGAACAACGTATGAAAGAGGATGACTTTTCCAGTGTGAGTCAATTAGTCTCTCCTTCCCACAACAAAAAGCTCGTACTCAAGCCTGATGGTCTCACAGTCGTGGATGTCAAGGACAAAACAGAGACTCACATTGTGAAATTCAACAATCCAAGCAATGTCGCGGTGAATATGACTTTCACTTTAGAAAAAATTACGGCTCAGACTGCCACAGACAGCACTCCATTGGCCATCTTCAAGTTTGATCCAGCTCCTCAATTTACATTCAAGGATCTTCCATTGTATTTGGTGTTGCAAGATGATGGAAAAATCATGGTGAGAAATCAAGACCGTACAAAGATTTATCCAATCACGAGTGAAAATTTCAAACCCTCTCCAAAAAATTAAAAGTGTGAGGTTCGGATACTTTCCGAATATGAATAAACAATCATCATACTGCGAGGTGAGTTTAGATGAATCATATAATTCATCATGGTCGTTAACGAAAATGATTATTGCATTTTTTTGGGATAGTGACGATAACTCAGAAGAATCATTAGTGTGTGAGGTTGGAGACTGGACTCCATTTCACAGTCAGGGTATTTGTGACGTGTCGGATGAGAGAGCCTGTCGTATTTCTCCACACTGCATATTTGAAATTGGGCGAAAAGTTATTTTTCAAATAATTGATTAATATTGCAAGATTGTGATCATGCTGATGGAGATTGTTCTGCGTTTCATTTTCGTTCTTTGTTTTGCCACTGATTAACAAACCATTTCCTCTCAAGAAGTATCCTAAATCTACTTTGCTCGAGCTTAAATCAGAGAGGTATGACATGAAAACTAAAAGCTTATTAACTTCCAAACGTACGTCAGATGTAGTAGTGAAAGGAAACATGAAAATCAATCCAGAAGACTCCACATCCAACGTTGACTGTTCTCCGAAGGACATCAAAATGCTTTACAAACGAGCATGTGTAGAATTTAATGTGGGTGGAGTTAAATTGAACAAAGAAGTGGTCACCAGCACATATTAGAACACTTTTAACAGAGCATATCGATGGCCCTAAAATGGAAATCAACGAAACGATGTTAACTAAGGGTTCATATATCGATTTAATTGTTAACTTGCTTCTGCATAAAACAGACCATAATGAACCTGTGCAACGTTTGGTTAAAGTAATGGATAACAAAATGGAAGAAGTTGATGCATGAACTTTTGGTGTTCTGGATTGAGGATTCACTAATTGTCCCAGTAATTGATTAATAAGGCTAAGACTGCAATTAGTCAGATGACAACTTAATTATCCCATTTGCGCCTATTATCTCTAAATAAATGTCATGACATTTATTTAGACAAGAGAATATCAAAGGTTTTGAATATTAATATTTTTGGCTTCTTTCCAAATTGGTAGGGTCATGTTAGGAAAGGATCGGTTTATTTTCCTCGACGAGTTACAACATTATCAAAGATTTGACAACCATCTTGAACAAACAATGCACATGGATACCGTTGTTGCCAAAACCAGGGTGTGGATTCGAAATGGCAATAGTCACAGAACTAGGTGGCTAAATCTATCCAATCTGAATCTGTTCCAACCTTTGATTGATTAAGAAAACATGGAAACGAGTGTGTCATCCTACTGCTCACTCTCTCGAGAATCTACGGCAATCTTTTGCAAGAAAAAATATATCAGGTGATGTGTGTGAAAACTAACTTCTAAAATCATCACAAGATTCTTTTTCGAGGCACCTTCGTTTTGCCATAATCTAACACGCATATAGCCATGTTTTTTGCCCACACGTTTTGCCGGTTGAGTTGAACTATTCAAAAAAAGAACAACACACAAACAAATCGATACGGCTTTTCAAACCCATAAAACTCAAAGCTCGTATTTCTACGTCCCTTGAATGAGTTTTTCTTCCATCATAACCAAACAGTTTCCATTCATCTTCTTCAAAAAACAACTTCTCAACCATTTGTGGTTGCCACACTTTGAAAAGTAATCATCGAATATATTTTTCCTTGATCAGAAGTTCAATTTCATTCCAAAATGACCACAATAACCAAAATAACATCTTCCGGGTCGATGTTTGCATCGATCTCTCCCTCACATCCACATTTCTCTTCGACACAACGACGAGCCTCAGTTTCATTTCCTGCCTTTCAACAAGATTCTCCACAATCTCAATCCAGCACATTCCTCTCATCTTCCTATTTGCGTAACCTCCCAGACGATATTCTCATCAATCATTTGCTCAAACAAGGAAAGAATTATAGCAAGGTCGGAGTGATACTTTTCATCGTTCCCATTCTCTTCATTTCGACATGTTGTTGTGAGGAAAAAGGTTGTCTTGTGTTTCTTACGATTGCCTTCTCCGAAATCTTCTTCCAGATTGTCATTAACGAAATTCGAAAAGAAACGATTCAAAGTATCATTCGGTGGCATTTCGTGAAAGTATTCTTAGTTCTCATTGCACAGATTCCTCTTCAACTTCACTACGGATGCATGTTTCCAATGTACATACTCACCACTTTCAAAATTCTCATTGTGTCCAAAACATTTACCTTCAATGTTCGACTCATGATACTAGCAGGATTGATCCTTGTATTGGGAACGAGTGCAGCCATGTTTGTAGCCTATTTCATGCAATCCTTCCCTCAAAGTGCTTTATCTGAAAAGACTTTGCTTTCTCTCCATTCACAGAAGAATGCAGCAGAATCTATTGGTTTCCGAAACTATTTCATGATCAAGTTAATTGAAATATTCGTCTTACAATTTGGTGTGATGCTTTGTGGTTACCTCTTCTCTGAATCTCTTATCCAAACCAATCAAGAATACACTCGACAACAAGTTGAGATCACCCGAGAGAGGGTGAAAAACTTTGAAAAGACAAAATTCATTGCCAACTTGAGTCATGAAGCTCGAAATCCTATTCATTGCATTTTGGGAAGTCTCCAAGTTCTGAGTCATCATTTTCAGGCTGAAAAGTGCTCACATGCATGTGAACATTGTTTAGTGAACAATTCCGCTGTCGCAGAGACAATGCAAGACATTAAGGAGAACGCGACCCTATTATTGCATATCTTGTCATCTTCGTTGCAAATTACATCCTTGGAAATGGATAAAGTAGTTCTAAAGAATGAAGAATTCTCAATGATCAATTTGGTCGATTCGTTGGTCGGTGCATTCTCTCATTTAGCGCAAGAAAAGAAAATTTCATTGAATGCATTTTGCAATATTGCCACCGTTCCTCCCTTGTTGAAAGGAGACTCGGTAAAAATTTCGCAAATCCTCATGAACATTGTTTCCAATGCAATCAAGTACACTAAAAAAGGGTTTGTCAGAGTGAATTGTGACGTTCTGAAAGATGACTCTCCAGAGTCACAGGAAATCGCAAGTACCTTGACTGAGAAGAAAAACAACATTGTTTTTGTCAAAATTGAATGCATGGACACAGGTTGTGGAATTTCACAAAGTCAAATGCAAAACCTCTTTCAGCCTTATCGTATTATTCCCACTGACAATGAAGAAGAAGTCTCTGTAGGATTCGAACACTACTTTAAGAACAATCGATCCATCAAGTTGGACGATGGTGGAAGTAGTGTGATCAACACTAAACGTACGGGTCTTGGTTTAAGCATTTCCAAAATGTTAGTGAGCAAAATGCATGGCATGATCAGTGTTGAAAGTTGCCCTCATCAAGGTGGAACTGTGTTCACAATCATTCTACCCCTAGAAAAGGTTTCTGTAGAGCAAGAGAGTGTAAAGAAAATCAATAGCGATCAGAGTGGTACACACCATGTATCATTATTGAAGGAACATTATGATGAGAAGGGACAATTTAGCAATGTCGTGGAAGATCGACCTCATTGTAATATTTTCATCATTGATCCTGATTATTGCTTTAAGGAAGTCCTCAAAGACTACTTGGCTGCATTGAAACCAACATTTCCATATGTGGACATTAAGGAATTCAATGATTTGAAATCTTTTCAAGCTGACTTGAAATCTGGTCACCTTCCAGCGTTGGGCTCCAACTTGACAATACCTTCCATAGTCTTCATTGACGAGAATGAATATGATACGGCTAGAAAAATGTTTTTACAAGTGGATGAATGTCACTTCCAACTCATTTCAACACGATTTCGAGGATCCATGAAACAACTCTCCTCGAATGTTAAATGTCTCTCAAAACCTCTACGCTATTCAGACTTGTTTGAATTGGTTCAACAAGCGGACCACTTGTTTCGACTCAACCACCGCCCGAAACATGATTCCTTACTCCATCATCATGAAATGTCATTAACTGTCAACCAGATCACAGTTTCCACTTCATCAGTTCCCTTAGATCAATCTACCATTCAAACTCCAGTCTATGTTCATCATTTTGTCACAACTCCAGCTGAAAATGGACATCCCTCTGTCGTACAAGCTCCAACTAATTCTCCACTCTTTTCTCCCTGCATTGAAACTGCAAGTTGCAACAACAACCATCTCATTACCAATGTAAATAATAACACCTGTCATCATCACTCTCCATGCGTCCCGAAGGTTCCTGATTTCAGCAAGTTCTCTGTTCTCATCGCTGACGACAATGCCGTGAATCGCAAGGTTTTGGTGAAATTGCTTCAAATCATTGGATTTCAAGATATTGATGTGTCCAACGATGGAAAGGAATGCTTTGAAAAGTATCAACAAAAACCCTATGATCTTGTGTTGCTCGATTGTATCATGCCTGTATTGAGTGGTAAGGAAGCCTGTACCTTAATAAGGAAATGTGAAGCAGGAAAATCTACAAGAATTCCAATTGTTGCCATCACTGCCAATACTTGGGAAGTGAGAGAAACATTGTTGTCACAAGGATTTGATGATGTCTTGTACAAGCCATTGGTGTTGGAAACTTTCAGACAACTCTTAGTGAAACTCTTGTTGCCAAGTGCCAAGTGATTATTGGCCAATAAATATTCCAAAAAAAATCAAATACCTCCGACAACCATGATGATATCCTTAGAATGGTCAAAATGGCATCAAACTTGATACACTCATATAACATACCTTTTTCTATGAACTTTTCCTGCACAGAAAGTCACCAAACTTTGTACACATGTTAAACATGTTATTGTATACTTGTAGTGACAATTTCAACCTCCAATTATGTCTCCTTCATACTCGGAATTATCATCAAAGGTTTTCTCTCCGAATGACTTACATTCAATGATATGATCATATCAGTCAATAAAACCAACATATTGTTGTTAAAGTCCATACAATCATATCCTATCATTTGATGATTCTCTTTATCAAGTAAATATCGTGCTGGCAATCAACCAAGTTACTTTGAATGTTTTCAAGTTGTAAATCTTCATATATGAATATCTTATTATTAAATCAAATAACATTATTAAATCGAATCACAAAACCAGGAGAGCAATGTTTTTGAACAACAACAACAATATTGTGGTCAAATTCACTCCATGATCGCTACATCAAAAACGAGTCAATCAAAAATTTACTACTATCCACATAGACTCAATAATGAATACTATTGGTTGAAGAACATGTAGAAATAGAATAGGATCAAATTGAGAATGAGTTGATGATTGTGAGATGTGCATTTTTTCGTATTGGGACAAAGAGACCGATTATCATAACCGAACGATGAAGGAACAATGGAAATCAAATGTTCCCTTCTGAGCTGCCGACAACTGTCGAAACTCAGAAAAAAATGCTCGCAAAATCACTCGGCACTCTCCTTGTCATCTGTGCTCTATTCGTTGTGGGCTTGTATGCACAAGTTTTTCAATTAGAAACAGCACAAAATTCCTTGTTTGTCCATAGCGAACCATCCATGTCCATCCCTGTGGTCGGTAAATTCATTCTCAAATGTCCAGTCAACTCCAATAAGAACATCCTCCTTCAAGTTCTGGATATAACCTCTTCTCCAAATCGTGTACTCTATCAAGTTTGTTATGACAAGGAAAAGGCCATTCCACAATTCACATTCCACTACTTGGATGATAAATGCTCTTCTTCTGGTTTGGTAAGACCAGATGTCGATCCTTGGTACACAGTTGCTGATGTTACTGATGGAACTGGACGTACCTATCCAGATGGTTATGACCGTGGACACTGTTCTCCATGCAGTTTCTACTGGAACTAGTGGACAAGCCAATTCCCAATTTAAAAATGTTCCAGCAACTATTAAGGAAAACGGATTCAAAGGAAAAGATTGTGTCATTCCATTGTATTATTGGAAGATTGTAATGGTATTTGATGAGAACACTCCTTCAAATTCATTTTACATCATGGTTTTTGATTACAATACTGATAATAAGAGAGGTGTGAGAGTATTGAATGATTCTGCATCAAATATTCCAGCAGAAATTGCTGCTTCAAATTGTATGGATTGAATAGTATTGTTTCTAAACTTAAGGATGGTGTACCAGTTCTTAAGAGTTTAATTCCTGATTATGCGACACGTTTGTCTGGAAGTTATGCTCCATCTGCTGATGAACTCTTTGAAATGCTTTCAGATAATGAGGATTTGAGTGACATTTATGGTGTCGATGGTGAATCTCAATAAAAATGATTTGTAATTGTTAAATTGATAGTCCCACTCATGCTTTCACTCAGCATTAACAGCGTATTATGTTTTCTTCTTGAATAAATCTTCGAGGCAGAAGTTAAAATCCCGAAGCGAGATGTTCTTTCATTAGGCATTAATTGTCTTTGGTTACATCATACAAACATACTCACTTGATTCTCTTTTATGATACCTATTGATGTTGATGGAAGAATGCATGTCATTCGCATCTGTTGGTATCTACCCCGTGAATTGAATCCAATCACTCCCTAAATCAGACTGTACGCCAAACATCACAAAACCTTAAAATTATCATGATACAAAGAGATGTTATGGAACTCTGTAACCATGCTAAAACCATGATCATTGTGCATCACCAGAGATTTTGTCGTCCAAATTAAAAAAAAGACATGACCGGTCAAAGGCAACAACAGAATTGCACCTTCTTCTGATGAGACAAAAGTGCTTCTTGAGAATAAGAATGCATCAGATTTTCCTGATCTGGCATGTTCCATAAAAACATGCCTCATTGCTCTTGTTTCTTGCTTGGTCATTCTGACGGTCTTTGTATTGACCGTTGCATGGTTATCTGGGTTTGTGCCATCCTTATTGGAGCTCCTGGTCACAATTTTCATTACTTTATCGGAAATGATTTGACAATTGATACCATTTCCAAGTTTTTGGCTCAAAGTGTCCGCTCAATATCTGGGTCTAGATCTTTCATTATTGAAACTCAAACGTCATACATCATTGCAGGTAAGTATTGCGAGTTGTTGTAATACGCAAAACAATAAGGGCTTTTAGATGATAATAATTCCAGTCAATTGACAGAACGGAAAGCAGACGGATCATTTGAGAGAAAAACATCTGAAACCATTGTATCCTTATCCAAAACAGCCTTATCCAATTATAATTCATGGGATAAAATACAATGTAACACTTATAATAGTATTTCAGACACCTCCCAATATATTTCAGTCTACAGATTGTGCACTAGCACTCAAATCGATTGGTAAGTATATAATGTGTATATTTGTTGAATTGCAACAAATATATGCTGGATAAAAGGATCATTGTTCTCTCAGAGCCAAAATGGAACACCATTAGTTCTACCATCATTTCAATCATTTGCTCTCTAGTTGGTAGTGCTTGCGTTATCCTATTAGGAGTCATTCTGGGTGTAATTACATCATTACGTCTGGTGAAACCATTCAATAATTTGATCAATCTCTTTGAAAGTGTTGCCAATATGGAGTTGGAATTGGTTGCACTTGACGGGACGGTATTCTCTGAAGTAAAAGTCCTCCAAAGACAATTCATTTCCATGGTTGAAAGGATCAAACTCTACAAATCATTCATTCCAAGACACTTGCTTGCAGAATTAGAATCTCCTTCTCATGAAGATAATGCCCAACGCAGTAGGGAGAGTTCTTCAAATTTAGATTCAGACACTCTACCTTCATCCTTAAATGCTGCTCATCATTCTAGTATTCGTTCTGGTAATGCTTTAAAAAGGAGTAGCACTGATAACCCAAACAAATTTGCTCTTCATTTGGAAGTCAAGTCATCAAGTTTTGTACAGGTACATTTGGGAGGTGTTGGTCAATGGTTGAACCATTCAATTCCACCAGATGATATTGTCAAATTGTTATCAAGCATTTATCATCAGTTACATATTGTTGCAAGACAACAAGGAGGGGTCGTAAGTTCAACTTTTGAAAATGAATGTGTGACCATCTCTTTCAACACATCAACCCAACAAGTAAATCATCCACTGAAAGCATTGGTTGCCAGTTCAACTCTCCGACAAAGATTGGCACAACTCAAGAAAACCAAATGGAATGATTTTGCATTCTCAAATCATGACTTGTTAGATAATATACAATTCAAGTTTGGAGTTCATTCACAACTATCGTACTGTGGAAATATTGGAACAAGTGAAATTAAGAACTATTCTATCATTAGTAGTGTTCAGAGAAATCTTGAACAATTGATTCGTGTTGCACATCGATTGTGTGTAGATATTGTATTCTCTGAGGTAGTATTGAAAGAAGCTCTTAATAGTTATCAAGTTCATACATTGACTCCATTCAGAAGGTGGCAGATTTCTCGCTCTCAGCATTTCACGGGACAGAATATTCTCAACATACACATGTTGATTTGGATCTGAACAAGGGAATGAAAGTCTATGAATTAGGTCTGAGCAATACAGTGAATGAAGATGAATGGATGTATGAATTGCAAGAAAAGCACAAGAAGAGTCAATGGAAAGATTACAATGATGCATGTGCTCTCCTTTTTGAAAACAAGTATGAGGAGGCTGTGTTCCGTTTTAAAGCCTTCTCGGATCAACATCTTCTCGATGTTCCTTCAAAATACTTGCATCAACAATGCATTAGAAAGATGTAAGACTAATTAATAGAAACCTCCAACGTAGAATTTTCCGTATATCATACATAATATTTTGCACCTAATTCAGTATATTCATGAAATGTGTGAACTATCGATAATTAATTAGTTTTCAAATTGTAAGAATAATTTTCTGGATATGTAAGAACTGTTGTCTTGAGTGTCAGTTGTCGCAAAACAACTTTCCAAAATAAAAGAAGGCATCTGTAATTGAGGGAATCATCATAATTCTCGTTTAATGTTCCTCTTCATCTTTACTCTTCTCAACAAGGTCTACAGGTCCCTGTTTTACCAGCTCCTCTAACTCTTCTTCCCATCCCAACAATTTACAAAGACGATCTACGCTTTCATCAATGGTGAGGTCTGCACCGCCTAAAAACAAGTCGAGATAATTAGACTCTTCTCCGATTTCTGTAACATAGCCTTCATGTTGCTTGAATGGTCCAGCTTTTTCTCTATTCAAGAGAGCTCTAGTACATCCTTTCTTTACAAGTTCAGGCAACATGGCAACAGGATGAACAGTTAAGGATGTACCAATCACAATAAAGAGTTTGCATTTGGAAGCTGTGTTTTTCAAGTCTGCCTTTACACACTTGCTAAACCTGTGAGGTAAATCTTCTCCAAACAGAACAATATCAGGCTTAACATAACCACCACATTTGTCACAAAGTGGAACAACAACGTCCTCTGCAGTACCAATTTTTTGCACTACTTCAGCCAGAGTGTACTTTTTTCTACATTTGGTGCAATGAGCCGTATCATACATGCCATGACAATTTACCAAAACGTCATCAGAGACTCCAGATTTTGCCTCTAACCCATCAATATTTTGAGTATACAATCTCAGTAACTTTCCCTTTTTTTCTAAGAGCCTTATAAAATAGTGAGCTCTTGTTGGCTTGTATCCTGTTGAAATGAAATCACGAGATAAAAGGAAGAAGGGTTTTGGGTTTTCGTGAAAATAATCGAGTTCGAATATTGCTGTTGGACGTGGAAGATTGTATTTTTGGAGGTTATCATAACTTGTATGTTGAATAAGGTGTCACAGTGATTGAGCCTTAAATAACAATTCATGCCTCAACTTACAGTCCAGTTCCAGGTGTACGAAAATCGGGGCTAAAGAAAGTAGATTATTGTTGTTATATATGTATTTCAAATAGAAATATCAACTTACATTCCAGCTGATGTGGATAATCCAGCTCCTGTTAAACAAATAATTTGCTTTTCTTCTGCTTGTGCAATCTTTTCCGCTAAAATTTCAAAAGCACGATAACTTTCTTCATTTGCTTGACGTTCTTGTTCCTCTATTTCCCGAATTTTTCTTTGATCAACTTTCAATCTTTCGATTGCTTCTCCGATTTCTACACTGGCATCACGACCACCTGGATATTCTCCAAACTTCGCAAAATGTAATTCTCTCAACATGAGTCTAGTCATTTCTGGATTTTCTACATAAGCATCACATTCATAGCAATAGATACTCAAGTCAGCCAAGCTCAATACCATCGGATGATGAGTAGATTCAAAGTGGTTCATCATGTGTGCTTTTCTATATCTACTGCAACATACGGAATGACATTGAAGGCAAAACCAATTCTCAGCCCTATCTCCACACACAGAGCAAGGTGCAGAGGCTGTATCGGTATTGGAGTCCTCCAACTTGGTCATGATGGTCGAGAAGAGAGTCTTTAACGCTTTTCGATCTTGATATGGCATGTTGAAGCAATTTGGATCAGAAAAGTGTGGACAATTTCGTAACGGTTCTACCGCAAATCCAACGCCTTCAATCTCATAACTTTTGTTGTTCGGTGTTGAATGGTTCTTGTTGTTTTGATGGTGATCATCTTCGGAGGAGCCTCCACTTGACGATGATGGTGTAGAAATCATGATGATTTTTTTTTTGAGAGTTGAAAAAAAAAGGTTTCTTTCTCTCGAGTACAAAAATTATTTATAAAAAATTGTTGTAATGGTTCATCACGGTTCTATCCCACTACCACCACCACCACACAATTCAGAATAAAAGTTATTGATAAGTGATTAAATATTCACCATAGGATTGTTTGTTATCAAATATAACAAATTCAGTGCCTTTTGGATTTCCTTGAACACTGTCATACATCTTTTTGGTGGTTGCATCATAGGGTCTTGTGAGGTTAGGATTTTCCTGTTGAACGATCATGGGTTCACCAATCGTGACACGACACATGAACATTAGAGCTTGCTTTCGTATAACCATGGCTATAACTTGCATTCACTGCAAAATAGGCACCTTGGCCATAAAAACCAGTCGTGGTCAAACGATAATCAAAGCCATATTCCGAACCAATTATTTTCTGTGCAGTATCTGCATCACAACCATGATATAAAATCTTTTCATTGGCATTTCCTTTGTTTTTGCACTGGATGTGATAACGGAGTGTGGTATATTCTTCCCATTTTTGTGCATTTTCAATTCGTTCTATTTTGATCACCTGAGCCGAAGAGTGTGAATGTTGAACAGATTTCAAAAATTTCGCCTCAATCTTCTTGCACTCATCAGAAGTCTTGGGTAATGAAAACAATCGAGTATATTTCTTTGAAATTTTTGTAATGGAATTGGGTGGTGATGTCGTCCAAGTGTCAGACCAATCAAAGTTGTCATCAACATCCAAATCATCGTGAGAGAAACGAATTCGATGAAGTGGATCACTTAAATAGTTACATTTGCTTCCATAGGTACATGGATGAATAAAGTTGTGGGTATGATCTTCATTGTCTTGGTAATGACATTTCTTTCCATGAGCACAAATGTGAATGAATCTGGCTTTGTGAGTTTTGTTTTCTTTCCACTTGTCACAATTTTTGATGGTACACAAATGTCGAAATTCACATTTGTGTTGTTCGTCTAATCGGGTGAGAGAACACTTTTTCCAATCCCGGCAAAAGTTGGTTGGTTCAGGAATTTTGTCCTTCTTTTCCATTGTACTGTTTCCTGATTGTGACAAATTAGATGATGACTGTTTCGAATTGGTGGAAAGGTATTTCTGAGGACTTGCATTCTGTGAGTTTTTGTAAGTTGAAGAACTCAGGTTTTGTGCAGGTGGCATTATCACAGGTCCACTGAAGCCATGACTTGGTTGTGGCATGTGATGGTGAGGATGAACATTGCCAAATATGGCTGGATCATAATGACCTGTGTGAATATGAGTTGGTGGCGTTTGTGGTGGTGGAGAATTGATCATCATGGTTGGAACAATAGCCGTGTTTGGTAATATTTGATGTGGCGGAACAGAAGAAGGTTGAGAAAAAAAATTTGTTGGTGGAATTCTCGTCGTTGTCATATTTGGTTGGTTGAAAGGATGATTGGAAGAGGAATTCAGAATCAAGGAAGAAGGAACTGAATGATGATGTTGCATGGAAGGAGTGTATGGATTGAAAGGAGGATTGGAAGGTAGGTGATTGTAATTTGGAAGATCATTTGGAAGGTGGTTATAACTCGTAAAAGGAACTTGCTGTGGATTGTTGTGGTTGTGATGATTATTATTTGAAAACATTTTTTTGAATTGCTTCCTTGTGCCAATTCTGTCTCATTCATGAATTGACTTCCAATCACGTTACCACTTCAACAGGTGACATCTAACACCATTCACTTTACAAAAAAAATGCCTCTATGCAAAAACGACGAACATTGCCCCTTTACCAACAATTCCGATCATAAAAACCAATATCTCCACACTTGTAAATACGGAGATCAATGTCGTTCTCTACACAATACCAAGCATACAGAATGGTTCATTCATTCATGTCCCTTTCAAGGAAAATGTTCACTTGTGAATAATTTCAAACATAACATTACATTCAAGCATCCTCCACAACCATCAACAACCACCAAAGGAATCATTGAAAGGCTTATCAAACTTGTTTTTGATGAAGAATCTGGAAAAGGAACTCTGAAACTTCGATGTCCATATTGGGATAAATGTGCACTCACCAACCAAGTCGAACATTTGACACAATTTTATCATCCTTGTCGATATGGTGATCAATGTCGAAAACAAAACGATGAAGATCATTGTGAAGATTTTTTTCATCCATGCAATATCCAGAATTCGAATAACAATCCACACAAGATCAACACTGCCGGTCAAAACAAAGGAGGCCTCTCATCCTGGCAACAACTCTTTGTATGGAAATCACATTCAGAATGTTCCATCCATGTATCCAACTTCTGTTACGTACACTACTGGAGGGTCAACTTCTCCAGTCTATTATTCGAATTTCCCAACTCAACCAACATCGAATTATTACGCCCAGAATCAAGTTGGAGGTCAAAACCATCATGAATATACAGGAAGCATCAGTAGATCAACAATGATGAACAATTCAAACATGGTGTCACCAACCACCACCACTACAATGAGCACAAATCATGGAGTACAACTTCCAACCTTAGTTGTCATGTCTTTTAATGTATTGGCAGATTGCTATGTGAGCGATGAACGGTATGAGCACATTTCGAATAAGAATTTCTTAAAGTGGCAAAATAGAAAGTCAAAAATTTTTCACACACTGAAGGATCGACCTTATGACATCATTGGAATTCAAGAAATTGATCAAAATCACAAAAAGGAGTTTTCAGATTTTGCATCCAACCATGGATACACCATCTTGATCAGAGACAAACTTCCAAGAAAAAAGGATAGTATTGCGATCATGTTCAAAACGAGTCGATTCGGACAGCCAATTGGACAAGGAAGTGAACAAATTATTGAGGGATACCCAGAAGTGTTTCAATACGTTCTATTGAAGGATCCTCTCTCTAATTCATTAGTTATTGTTATGAATTGTCATTTGACTTTCCAAAGAGACGCAATTACTCCAAGAGAAAATCAAGTGAAAAGGATGGTCGGAGTTTTAAAAGATCTTCATTCAAAACATAAGCAGTATTCAACGAATAGAATTTCGGTTCTTTTGCTCGGTGATTTCAACACTCAACCTCATGAGAGTCCTGTGAAATTTATGGAAAATAGCATGTTGCAAAGAGCACACCAAGATCGACCTGATTTTTGGACCTTTTCAACCTCACACCAAGGTGTGTGATTATATCTTGTACTTTGGAAGTCATTTACAAGTGACCAGTAGTGACCCTGAACCAGTATTTCTTCCCAGAGGTACCGTTCCAAATGAAGAATTTGGCTCTGATCATGTTCCTATTTCTGCAACCTTTCGATTTCTGAACTGAATGTTCTTAAAAGCGCAAATTAAAGAAATCAACAAAAAAGTCAAAATTTTGTGAGGTCAAGATCATGAAAAAATTTGCTCAACCATTTCGGTGAACAATAAATAATAATAAACAATAAAAAAATCCCATCTTATCTCAAATTGTCGAATAAACAACAACGTGACCTCTTATTTTTACTGAATCATGGTCCGAAGATTGGTCTCTATTAAGGGAACAATTCTTTAAGCCTTGCAGATCCGACATCCTTCTTTAGTAGTTCTAAAAATTCCTCCTTCTTTTTGAGAGCTGCAGCATCGGTTTTTGAATTCATCACTCCCTTTATCAGCTGATTTTTGCATTCCATCTCACCGTCCGAAAACTTATTTGCCATCTTGATGATAAACTGTCGGGTACTTTCGTCTGCAGGTTTGTAACCTTTTTGAAGAAACTTGTAATATCTCATAATTTTGGAAGGATTTCCTTTGGCCCAAAAATCTCGATACTTTTCTTTCACTGGAATTCGTAAGACTTTGTTTAAAGCATCTTTGATTCCTTGTCCTTTTCCGATTGGGTCAATCACACATTCATTGATAAGATCATACCACAAAGAATTACAAGTGAAATCTCTACAAATATTCTCTCCAACTAAATCGGTACCAAAACATTGCGGAATGTCACTCTTCACAGTTTTGTTGTCATTGTTGAGTCCATTGAGAGCCTTGCCTTCAAATAGTTCCCATGAGTACTTCCTACCACAACGAGACCTCTTGGTCCTGGACTTTGAATACCTGTGGTGTACTTTTTAGATAACTTTTCAAACAATTTTTGAGGTGGACATCCAAATCCAATATCAATATCTTTAACTTTTCCAATTATATTCTGAATGTTGGTTTCCTTCTCTTTCAACACTGCATAAAGGACATCTCTCACTGCTCCTCCAACGATGAACACAGGAACACCCTCGTTCACAATATATTTCAATACATCCAGATAAGTCGCACGAGGAGAAACTCCGTCAAGATATTCCGATAAGGCCTGAGTGAACACATTCCTCACAAGACTATTCTCGTAGACACACACTCTATTTCGATACCATGGTTGCTCAATTTGATTGTTTGGAAAAGTCACATTCTTGAGATCCTCCGTCTTGATATGTCCTTCAAAGACACCCTTTCCTGTCTTTTTAAAGATGACAATTTTTCCAGTCGATAAGTTGGAGCCAGTTTGTCTCTCCCAACCAATAAATTTATATTCCACGGGTGAGGTTAATTGAATGGAAGCAGATCGTTTCCACCGCTTGACATGCGGTTGCATTTTGCTTTTATCTTTGGAGGTAAGACCAGGAATATCTGGTTGTTTCTTTGAAGAAGGATGAGAAACGGTTGGAGATAGATCATCGTCGTGATCACACGAGGAATTCAACAAACAAAAGAAGTCTCGATGTCCTTGACTCTTGTCGTCCTTGACTTACACTGAGAGCAGTTCTTTCCCTCAAAGCATTCAGGATGCAAAAATCTTGTAAAATGTCTCCACTGAGAATCTGTATTAGAGTCAGAAAGAGATTTACACTTGGCTCCGTATCTACAAATATGCATGAACTGATCTCTATGCGTCTTAGAGTTGTCCTTGCACGTTTCACCTTTGGGAAATTTATGTAAAAATTGCTGAAAGTGAAGAGGGTTGCTCTCTCGACAAGAGTGGACTCGAGGACATACATGAAGATAGCGTGAGAGATGATCAACATCTCCTCTCTCGGCAATGCGACATTTGGTACCATACCAACATAAATGGTTTGGGAGAGAAGAGGATTGAGAACTTTGGGAAGATGAAGTGTTGACACCTGACATTCTTCTTCCGTCTTTATGTTGTGGAGAAGTGTTGTCTTGCTCCGAAGAACTGGCATGATGATTATGATACCCAGTTGGTCGGTGATTATATATATTGCAGTGAAAGGGAGCATTTGGGTTTGTGGAATAATTCACAAAAAAATCACACTGCAAACCACAAGGACAGTCATGATAGTATTCAAAAAAATGTTGATCGGTCAAATCAACGATGGGACAGTTAGGAACTGGACAAGGTTTCTTGACACTAATGTCCACTAACCAAGGATGTGAAGAGTAAGGAGAGCAGCTTGTGGATGGAAGCATTTTTTTGTTATAGAGGATTGAGAATTCTTGTCAGTTGTCAAACGACGATCACGTTCCAAAACAAGTGACAACGTTTCGTTTATTTTTATTTGATGGAATAACAAGCATAGACCGGAATGTGGTCCGAACCGTGAATTTGATTGGGAAGAAACTCTTTTTCAGTAATGACAACTTGAGGTTGATGAATGTTCTTATTGAAATCAACATGTGGTGGTTCTTGATTATTAGTGATATTGAATGATTTCATGAACAAATAATCAATACATCTATGAATAGTATTAGTGTTAAAAGTAATGTCAAGCTCTTCTCCATGAATTTCCTTTATGGAGCTCTTGTAACCATTTTCCTCAAAGATGGAATAACTTTTAGAATTGACATCAGCATTGAAATCTCCTCCAACAATGATTGCAGCACACTTGTTACAAGAACTTTTTGCATCTTCTTGCTCTCGAATATATTCGAGTAAATGAACTGCTGCATTCGCTTGATTCACTTGAACGTCGAAAAGGTTTGGATTTCCAATGAGATGAGTGGTGGCAACAAGTATTTTGCGATTCGTCTTTTTGTGAACAAATAAGTCATAGAGTAATTTCTGAGGATGACCAAGATTCAGTGCATAAAATCCAGATAAAGGAACACCCCAATAAAGCTGATCAATCACAAGAGCCACTCCTTCTTCTCGGTCTTGCTTCTTTTCAAAAATTGTAAATGCATTTGTGACTGCATTCTTGACCACTCTTAATACATTTTCTTCAATTTCTTGGAACATTAAAATATCACCTTCAATTTCCTGTAGTTGTTTGAGTATTCGTTGAGCACGAACCTTTTCATTCAAATCCTGCTTATTACAATAATAATAAAGTTTGTCTGAGATGTAACTTTGAGCAAGTACATTATAAGTCACAACTGTTAAATTATTTCTTCTATTGTCCCATGTCATTCCTTTTTGTGGAATTACATAACATTGTTGAACGCTTTTCAAGTGAGTTGAAAAGGCATCCATCCAATACTTGGTGTTACATCCATACTTGTTCCAATACATAAATTCTTCAGAAGGTGAGTGAAACAATAGAGGAAAGAGTATTAACGTCTTAATTTAATAATAATTCAAATCAAAGGAAATTCTTTTCGCCACATCTTGAATCATTTCATTACATGATGGAGCATCTGTCAATGAGGTCAGTAAATATTGTTTCGTCAAAATAACGACGTGACAATGCCACGGAAGAAAGTCCATTGAGGATGACGCTGTTGTTGCCACATGATCATTGCTGTCTCGTTCTCTCGTTCTCACATGGTCCATTCTCATGTTCGTAGCTCCATATTTTTTCAACTCGAGCAATCGACTGTCTATTAATTGCTTAACAGGCTCCTTTAAACACACATTTTGAGCAATATATGGAATGCTATTCAATGGAGTGAAATGTTCATGATGATTCGTTTCGTTTTGAGTAATGTCGAACACTGAACACTAAAAAAATGAGAAGAGAAAATTCTCTTTCATGTTTTTTGTGGGAATCCTGATGATGATGATTACGAACAACAAGTAACGTGATCGGGTAAGCTTCTTTCAAGGCTGCAACGTCAGGTCGTTCGTATGTTGCACACAGAATTTCCGCACGTGGATGAAACAACCATTCAAGCACTGTTGGTGCAATCGAACAATGACATCGATCGGGTTGCCCACCTTAACGAACATGTCTGTGAGCCACTCATCTACTTCAATGGCGAATTCCTGTGACCATTCAAATGTGAATTCCATTACGATGATCACCCCACCAACGACAGTGATTAATGGCAGTCATTTGCATCCACATGGAATAATATTGCTCCTTCTTTTCCAAATTATTCTGCATCGACTTCCACTTATCCATCCATGAATATGCACTCCATGTCAACTGCCATTCCCACGACTTGGGAGAACAACACCATGCTGCTTCAAACGTCGTCGTATTCTCATAATCACATGATGCCAGGTTATTCTGGTAGGTCCACCTATTACAATCCTTCTTTCTTTCATGGAAGTGGAATGGAGCAACAACAATTCATTCCCAGTTTCTCTGTCTGCCACTATTGGCAACTCCACTAACTCCACTGAATCCAACACAGATACACAGAATTCAAAACCGATCAAACCGATCACAGAGAAGCAACCTTGTCAAGATTGGGATTTATGTCAAAAATCCAATGATCAAGATCATGTTGAAAACTACTATCATCCATGTAAATTTGGAACTTGTTGTAAGAATATGAATCAACCAGGTCACAGAAATCGTTATTTACATCCTTGCAGCCAACCACAAGGAAAATGTTCCAAATTGAAAGATGAGGAGCATTGCACCTTTTTCATTCATTTCAGAGATGATAAGCCAGTCACATCATTGTACACTTATCCAGGAGCTAAAGATATTTGTATAAGCGCATTGAAGTGTGTCAAGAGCTCCAACAGATATCACATGGCTTCTTACAGGCATATTTGTAGAGATGGAGAAAACTGTAAAGCAAGTTCAAATCAAGAACATAAGAACTTGTTCCTCCATCCATGCCGTCACAAGGGTCAATGTCGCAATCAAAAGGGCAAGGCTCATATTCGAAATTTTATTCATCCATGCCAGGAAGGAGCGAGTTGTAAAAAGTTTGTAGAAGGAGTTGACATGTCTCATATTGTCCTTTTTTCACATCCAGTGGGTTCTGATAGCTCCAAGCTTGTGAAATATGAATGGCCAAATGCTTGGGTTTCACCTCCTCCTCCAAAATTATCCAAAAATCCACTGGAAAAGCCCCATTATGCCAGAGTGAAACTTGCGTCAAGTACTGCTGAATATCAACAAGTTCACCAATTCTTCAACAAAACAATAACTGCCAAGAGGACCATTATCACCATTGAAAGAATTGAGAATTATTTGCTGTGGTTTAGATTTTGCCAAAAAAAAAGAAAATGGGAAATTCTCATAACGAAACACAATTATTCCATGGAACCCAATTTGCATATATTGATTTGATAAGTGAGCAAGGACTAGATCCACGCGTGAGTGCAAGTGGTAAATTTGGATTTGCAATTTACACATGTCCTTTCTCAAGCTATTCAGATAGCTATGCACAATCAGGATCTCAACAAAATTATATGTTTGTAGTGCGTGGGCTTGTTGGAGATACTTACACAATTCCAGGGACAACTTTGATGGGTTCAATTAAAAGACCACCACTCAAACCAAATTCAACAACAGAATTGTATGATAGTGTCACTGGATATAATGCTCAGGAAATCATGTTCTATGATCAAACTCAAGTGTATCCAGAATATTTGATCGCTTATAACTGACGTTTTGCAACCAGCTTATTAAAGACTGAATTCTCACGTGACGACATTTGACACTCCGATCACGTTAAAAAAAATGAAGAACAACAACCACAACAACCACAACATGGACAAAACTTGACACTCAACACTTCCACTACAAGTACTTCGACCTTTCACTATGATCATGGTGATCCATCATCAGGTGTATCCACACAACAGGATTCGCAATGGAAAAGTGAACATTCATCAACATTTGGTCCACCAATGAATGCTTCTTTGAACACTCGATTGACTTTAAATCAACAATTGAATCAAAATATTTCTCCTAATGTACTCATGTCATGTTCAACAAGTCAGCCACATGAAGTCATGACAGTTCAACAACCACCTCAGCAACCACCACTTGGTGTTACCAATCAGCAACAGCAGCCTCCAAATGTAACACAAAATTTCTCCATAATGTCAAATTCTACAATGAATTCTCAACCAAATACGAATTCTTATCAAGGTTCACTTCCTTCGTCCATGTATTCGTCATCTCATCAACAAATGAATCCCCATGGAAACATTCCAAACAACTCTTATCCGTATTCTCAACATTATAATAACCCAAATATGGTTATGAATTCTAATTATTCCCAACCATCTCAATACTCTGGTGGAATGATGAATTATCAGCAACCAAACATGATGATGTCCAACTCTACCGTCTATCCGTCACCATCTTTTAATGCATATCCCACGAATGGAGGATTTTCTTCACAACCTCAACCTTCTTCCTATTATCAATCTCCATCATGGAATGCTATAATGCCATCACATTCCATGCAAGGACCTTACTCTCAACCAAATTATCCTCCAAATTATAACAATGGACAGCCACAGCACTCAGGTCATGTGATGGATACTTCCTTGCTTCTTCCAAGGAGTACTGCACCAAACAACCAACAACCATCTCAAGGTCAACCACAACCAACAACACCTCAAAATGACAATTCAAGCAATCAGCAAAAAAGCAATATCATCATCAACCAACTCAAAATCCAAGTCGATCACTGAAAAGAAAAAGTGCAAAGATTGAGATAAGTGTACTCAAACGTCAAACCAAGAACATGTCGAAAATTATTACCATCCATGTAGAAATGGAAAAACTTGCAGAAACATGGCAAATGAGGTGCATATCAACAGATTTGTTCATCCCTGTCAGGAAGGAAAGAAATGTAAGAATAAGAGCGACAAGGAACACAGTCTGCAATTTACACATTAACTTGAAGTTATGAATTTGAAATGATCGTAAATTTAACAATAATTAACAACAGATTCATATTAATAATTTAAATTTATAAACACAATAGTTTCTGATAGGCACAACAATTATGGTCTGAATTTGTACTTCAAAGTTGGAACGTATTCACAATTGTCACAAGCCACCTCCATTGACAAGTATTTACGCTTGGAAGAAAGATTTGTCTTTGTGATCGATTCGAACACTTTGCTTACAGGAGTTTTCAATTTTTCTTCATTGGCTTTAGCGTCGCCAAACGAATTATACACCATGCATTTTCCTGATGAGATCATGCTAATTTCAAGTCCAAATCTGTCCTTGAAAATTTCAATCAACTCTGCCAATGTGACATCTCTTTTCTCATCTACAACAATATGATCCCAAATTGAAATAGTTTTTTCATCCATGTAAGGAGCTGTTTGTGGTGGAATTGGCTCTGTGAGAGTCATGAACGGCAGCGCAATATTCACAAACGCATTCTTGTAGTAAGAAAGCTTGTCAAATCCTTGCATGAGCTTGTAAAATTCAAAACCTGCAAGACCAGTTACCAGTGCTGTTGTTGTCACCATGGCAGGAATAATATTTCCAGCAATTCCTTTCGTTGTATGCTTATCTGCTTCAGGAATTTTGTAATTTCTTGCTCGCAAATTACTTGTTGCTGTGATAAAGTAGATATGATAATTCGTGTCGTCGTCCTTCTCAAAATCAATAACATTCATGTGAAATCCTACCACTTCATTTGGTTTTGGAACGTTTCCTTGAAGATGTTTCATTTCTCTTTCGTCTTGATCTGAGAATTCTTGTTCAGGTTCTTTGTTTTCTTTTTCATCACTTTGAATTTTCAATCCACTCTTTGGTGTGAATTCTGGAATGGAAATTCTTGAAAGTACTGACTTGAAATCATAGTCTTCCTTTCCATGACCATTCAATCCAAATACGTATGCTCGTAAATTTGCTGCAGAGACAATAAAATCTAAATGCAGTGAATCATTTGGATCGAATTGTAGAGGAATTGGAGGTCTTCTGGCTCCTCCCCAAAAAGGTGTTCCAGTCGAAGTTACATAATCGATAGGGAAATTGTAGAGCAATTGACGAACTTTGTGATTGAATAATTGATCAAATTTAAGTCTTGCCCAAGCAATACAGTCTTCAAATGAGATCGGCTTGTGTGTCACAAGAGATTCATAGACATTTTCCAGGACCATCTTTTTCGCAAATAGAGTTTCAAGTTCCTTAATGTAATTGGATTTGGTGACATAGGCATTCACATCAATTGGAGTCTTATTAAATAGTCCTTCAAATTCATCTCTCGCCCATTGAATGGTGTGTTCAATAGCATTAGGAAAATTCTTTAAAGTACAGAGTGGAATTCCAGGTGTTTCAGGATCCCTTGTTGCTCCATAATTCTCTGTTTTGAATGGAATGACAATTTGAGTATTTCCTTTAGTTCCAAGCGTTCCTGACTCAATGAGATGTTTTCCATAAAAAACGCATTTGGAATCAACATAAAGTCGTGCCTGAATATTATCCAAAGCATTGGTCACTCCAGTCAATTCTTCCCAAAATTGATCATGAAAGGTATCTTCGGTTTCTGGTGCCACTTTTTCTTGAAAGGCCTTCACATTAAAGGATGGATTCATTGCTTTCACAGAAGCAGCTGCAGTGGTGGACTTTTGATGGCCAAGATGTTTGAATCGAAATAAAAACTGACGACTAAGATTTGATTTTTCAATCGAATCCATATCAGTCACGTATACGGTTCCATGAGGTCCACATCCAACACCCATCATGGCGTAATTTTTCAAAATTTCACATCCAAGAGCACCTGCTCCCACAATAAATTCCTTAACATCTCCCAATTTGGATTGGAAATTCTTTCCAAAGACTGCAATTTGGCCGTCGTATCTTGAACCCAATGGTCGACATTCTTCTTCCGTTGGATATAATTTCTCATCTTCAGGTAAACACTCTAATGCATCAAAATGCAAAAATTGATTCAATGGACAGAATTTTCCACTGCAGGCTTTTTGAACTTCTTGAGCCACCATTCCACCCAAGAATGCAGCCATTGGATTTAAATTTCCTCGACTTGTAAAAGCCAAGAGTTTCACAATTTTCTCGTTCAAATGACAGGAGAGAGAAGGATGAATTTCTGTGACAATTTCCTTTGCAATTTCAAACAATTGTTCAGCATCGGCCATATTGTAAGATTTTGGAAGACAATGATGTCTCTTTTCGAATTCACTCAGAGCCAACATGGCCACATGAATTTGATGTGGTCTTCCCAACTTGGCAAAATCGAAATCCATGCAGGAGGGATTTGCTAATTGTTCCTTCAAGGATTGATACGAATGTTGTTTGGGAACTTTGACTTGTGTCACATAACCACTCGATCCAGATTTATACTCTCCAAATGAAGTGGTATCGAGATCAATCTTGAACGTATGTTTTCCACATGCCAAAACTTTGATAGGTGTTTGGACCTTATTGATTTCATCCATGCCTTCAATGTTTTTAAATTGAACAAAATCACCCTCATAGAGACCATGAGTGGCGTTTCCTGCGTGAACAGTCACTGTCGCTGGATTTCCATTTGTAATATCTGTGACAATATTGGATACGAGATTTTCTCCATCTTCATCATAGACCATAAATTCACTTCCAAAATCACAAAACACAGAACCCATCAAACCTCTACTCTCACACGCAATAAACTTGATCGAATGTTTACGACAAATGTCATTCAATTCGACAAGTTGAGGAATGTGAATGTCTGTACAAACCACTACATGGATGGAACGACTGGTGATGAACTCTTCGTTTAAAAGCTCGCCTTTTTGCTCACCGATCGCTTGGACAGGAACATAATCGTTGAGACTTTTCAATTGTTGCAAAGAGACGAGAGCTCTATTCTTTCCTAAATCCTTTTCGGAAGCATAGAATTGAGAGGAGAGATCTTCCATTGAAACATTCTTGGTGTCAAACAAAGTGACACTTCGTACACCCATGAGGATTACATTCTTTGCAATCTCTACTCCGAGACCACCCAACCCACAGATCAAAACGTTGGACTTTTTCATTCGCTTCATGGCTGCGAGACCCAAGACGTATGCTTGTCGATTGTGGAATTGGAGATCAATGGTTGGATCTTCATGGTTTTCAACGTTGTCATTGTCTTCAATCATTGGATCGAGTCTTTCGTTGTTGTGTTGCGGTAACATTTTTTTTGTGTATTGAAAAACGTCAAGTTCCGCATTTTCTTTCAAATTAATTTGAACAATGAACTGTTTACAAAATGAAAATGAACTTGTTCAGAGTTCTACTATAAATAATATTGAAATGTGGAAAGTAATTTACTTCTTCTTCTTGATTGCGCTGTTCAATCGTGAGAGCTCTTTCCTCAATTTATCAGAGTTGGCCTTTTCTTGATTGTAATTGTTCATAAGCTTTTGTTTTGTTTCTTCTAAATTTTCCAATTTCTTGTTGAGTTTTGCATTCTCGTCGAGGATGGCACCAATGTCAGAACTCTGTAGCATTTTACATTTGAGCGAAAGTTCAGCCACTTGTGTTTTCAAACTTTGCAGCTCAGCCTCTTTCCTTTGCAAGACAATTTCCATCTGTTCCATAACTGTAAACTCTGAGTCAGTGATATTTTTCTTCAGCTCTTGATTGGTACTTGTAGTGCTTTTGGGAGACATCTCGTCAATTCTCTGGAGTTGTTCTGAAATTTGAAGGTTCGATTGAGCCACCTTTTTTTCATACTCACCCATTCGTTGCTCTAGTTCCGTAATACTCTTCTTTAGGTCATTAATCTCTTCAACCTTGGATTCCTTGAGAGCGTTTAACTGTTCATACGAATTGCGAGTGTTGTCTATTTCAGAGTTCAATGACGCATTTACATGCTCTAAACTACTAATTCTATCATAAAGCTTTTGTGTTAAATCATTCTTTTTCATGATCTCATAGGCATGATCATCAATCTTGATGTAAAGTTGCTTAATTTCTTCATCTTTTTCATTGATCAATGACAAATTTTCTTGCAGTTTCTGATTTAATTCATTGATGGTAGTGACATGCTGCAAGTCCAATTCAGTTGCTTTTTCGAGAGCTTCTTTCAACTTGTTACTATCTTCCATTAAGCGGGCAGCGACAGAGGTTGCCATATCTAATTCTCTGTTAAGAGAACTAATTTTCGACTCGTATTCAGAATTTTGCTTCTTCAATGCAGACGTTAATTCAGCAAAAGATTTTTCTTGAGCATCCTTATTCTGTTTAAGGAGCAACAAGTCTTTTTGAAGCCGGCTCATTTCCAATATCTTTTCTTCCAAAGTTGAGCTCTTTTTTTGAATTTCTGTTCTTAGATCTTCAATGTTAATACATTCTGATTTCAGTTGGTAGATAATTTGATCTTTTTCCTCAATTTCTTTTTCTTTCATTTGAATTTCCAGTTTGTACCTGTCCACAGTATGAATTAAGCTTATGTTTTCATTCAAGTGTTTTGAAATCTCAGCGGTCAATTTAGCGCTCTGCTCTCCCAAAACTTGCTGAAGGCTTGTCAATTCTGTTTCCTGTAGATGTAATTGTGATTTAAGATCATGTATTTGCTTAAGGTCATGTCCATGCTGTTGTTTGGCGTCTTGTAAATGTTTTTCAAGAATTTCTGCGTCGGCTCTTTTCGATTTCAAATCATCAATTGACGTAGATAGGGCCTTCGAAACCATCTGTAATTCTTCTTTAAGGCTCGCATTTTCACTTTCAAATATTTTGTTGTCTGTTTCCAGTTCGTTCTTCTCGAGTTTGAGAGTATTCAGTTCTGACAAAAGGTTTTGGCATTCCATTGATTTAGCCGTTATTTCGGATTGAAGAGTAGTAATTTTGTTCTTCATCTCCGAAATTAATGTGTCATGCCGCTCTATGTGTGATTTAAGTTGTTTTCTTTCATTATTAAGTTCATGATTAAGTTTTGACACTTCTTGTTCCAGCTGTTTTTTAGAGTCTCTCCACTTTGAAACATATTCCTTGAGTTGTTTTTCTTGATCCCTATTCAAATTTTCCAAGTTTTGTTTTTCTGTTTCTAATCGTTCTGCACGGTCTTTGGTGAACTGAAGAATACCTTGATTTTCTTGTTGAGAATATGTTGCTTCATTCAGTAGTAGGCTCTTTTCTTTAAGTTGTTCCGTTAGAGTGGTGATTCCCTTATGAAGCTCTTTTTGCTTTTCAGCTGCTGCTGTCAACTCATGTTGCTGTGTAGTGTTCTCCTTTTTGGCATGAGAAAGTTGAGCCGAAGATTGATTCATTTGTGCAACCAGGTACAACATAATGATGAAAAGTCCAACAGTGGCGCTCATAAGAGGAATGGAATACTTTGTTTTTACCTTCAACATCAATGTATGGAAGATAAGGTCTGAAATGTGCTTTGAGTGGCTCGAATACAAATCATTGAAAACATTTTTAGCATCTGATGAACAAGTATCGAGCTTTTGATGAATAAAGCTTTGCACGGTCGGAGTTTCTCCAAAGTGAGTTTTGATGGCTTTTTGGGCGTACAAACATTCAACAACAATCTTTCTGCAATTCAGAGAAAGAGCGTCGAAATGATTCGTAACGTTGATTCTCTCATTCAAATCCCAATCAAAGGAGTGTTCATCAAACCTAATATCCTCTCTTGCTCCACCATTCTTAATTTGTTCAGGAATTTTCAATCCATACTGAAGTGCAAATTCCCGAATGTTTTGTCTTTGAATAAGGCTCCGAGCGAGTTGTTGAGCATGGAACAAAGTTTCATCCGAGGAGGACACGGACAAAGCACTAATCAAGAAGCATAATTGGCTGTTCAACAATACCAATACTATGCCGAGTATAAGGAGGGTCTTACTTGTTCTACTCATAAAGTATTTCATGAAAATTTCAATAATTATTGATTTTCCTCTAGTGGGCAATAAGGCTTGAAAAAGGAAGAAATTTTTTTTCTCAAAATTCTCAAGTTTGAAAGAGCGCGAATTTTGATCACTCATACTCACACCTCCATTCTAAATAAATTCAATATTCAAGGATTGTTGAGCCTGAGCACGTGGAGTAGGTGTGGAGAGAGTAATCACAGTGTTGGCAGCATGTGAAGAGGTAAATGTGGTGTCAGTAGTGGCCACCAACACGTGTTCCTCACGCCCACCCTTGTCGTGGTTCTTATGCATATCATCCTCATGGACTGGTACATCATCATGAGGATGTACTTTCCTGGTATTGAAAGGAGGAATCAAGGCTGTGCTACTGTTGGGTGTGGATGTGTTCACAATTTGAGGTGTTGTTGTTGTCATGGCAGAGTTCTTTGAAATTTTCACCAATTTCGAGACCACATCAGATGTTTTCTTCGTGCCACGAGGAGCATCCAGAATGTCCATATCTTCACTTTGAATCATAATCGTAGTATTGTCTGATAACGGCATGGCCGTGTCCTTCTCTTCATATCCATGCGATGGATGTAAAGCTGCTGGACTCGAGGTCAGTGAACTTGGGGGTGTGACGGTGGTTGCTGAGGCAACTGAAGTATTGGCTGTCGTGTAGACCACAGCTGGATAATGACGATGAGGTGAATCAATGATGGCATCCAATTCGATGGCTGTATTCACTAGGGCAGCGACCGAGTTTTTCAAAATAGCATTCATCTTTTGAGTATTTCGTCGTGTGAAACGAATCTTCTTTAAACGTTTGGTGAGTATTCTCAATCGAATCGTTGTGATCAACCAATAGAAAAAAAAGGACAAACAAAAGACGAAAAAAAGTCCAAATGAATAAACAATGATTGAAAACCATGGATTTCTGTAATAGTCAATCACGTCGTAGGGCCAAATATTTACCCATCGTGCCTCCATATTCGTTTGAATCCAAATCAGGTACAAGGTCGGATAGATCATTAATATAAACAAGTGCCAAATTCTGAACACCACGTTGGACATTAAGAATTCAATAAAGTTGAAAATCATTTGTAAGCCGTGGTATCCAAAGGTACTGTGCCAAAGCCAGATTGTTGTTTGTACAATAACCATCATTATTTTGAGATCGTCATCAATTTGATGTTCATAATTACCAAAAAAAGTATTGAACAAAAAAATCATTCCATAAACAACATCAACCTACAAATACGACAAAACATCAGGATCTGTGGTCACTTTTCCATTAATTGCATACTGTGGAATCACAATAATCCAATATCCAAAAGCAACCAACGTTGCCGACACATGATTCAGCTCTGCAAACAACCAAATCATTGTCGAAGTAAATGTAAACAATTTTCTCACCCACACATTCAATTCTTCCACATTTCGTTTCGCCTTACCAGTCTTTTTCGAATCATTGAAAAACTTGTAACACGTTGTAATGTAGAATAAACCAAACACAGATTGCAGCACATAATACACTGCAAACACGAATGCAGACGTGTTGGTGAGAAATGAAAAGTAAGTAAGGAATGGTTTGGGTCTGAAATAGGCCACATCTACACACATCATAATGACCATCCATAAGGCCAATGCAACTCGGTAAATGTAGAGAAGGATGGTGAGAGGTCGTTTGAAGGCAAATCCTTCGAAAACAAATTGTGAAGGATCGTGCAGTCTGAAAGAATATGTGATGATGATAATAATAATAATCGAGGAGTAGAAATAATCATTATCGTCAACAATTCAAGTCCGTGATCGGAATGTCGTGTGTGTGAGAGGCCCAAATTTTGCGATTTTTGAAACGTTGTTTTTTCATCAAATCAAACACACAAACATCGAAATACATGTACCAATAATAATAATAATAAAAATAATAATAATAATTAGAAAATCCAAATCAATCTTCACTCACCTATTATAAATCAATTTTCTATCTTCTGCTTCCAACTCTTTGTCATTGGAAAATTTCGGCAGAGGAATTGAATTTGGGTCCTTTCCCAAACGGAAAGTCATTTGTCGTTGCTTTAAATATTCATTGGTGATGGTCTTTTTTGCTTTGAAATGAAAACCTTTGGTCAGTAAAACAACGACTGCCCCAGCAACAATGAAGGCTAGAGTAGTGGCATTGTTGGTGATAACAAGACTCGGAATGATGTTGAATATATTTCTGTCATCACTCAAATAAGGAGTAGTCATGACGTTGATGTTGTTGTTGAAAAAGAGATCAATGTGGATCGAAAATGACAAAATCGTGGAAACTAGTATTTGTTCCTGATTGTTCTAGTTGTTGTTTTTGATGAGTAGTACTGCTGATGAGAATGTTGTTATGCTTGAAGTGAACACACAAACGTTTTAGTCCTATGGATGACTTATTGTGTCAGCCTCCAAGTAGTAGAAAGAACCGAATCGAAGCAATCAAAGGGTGGAAGTGTTTCTTTTGTTTGTGACTTTGAAGAGAGATGAAGTTGCGCAAATTCAGGTGCTTGAAATGTTTTCCTCCATCCCAAGAAAGGAATGTCATGTCTAAACAAAGGTAAGACACTTTAACAGAAAGAAAAAAAGCTCTTTGTGCAAAGAACACCTCTTCATTCAGTCTCATTGCCAATAAATCATTGAAAATCATGTGGTAGCACGACAATTTGTCTCATCACTCGTTTAAAGAAATATTTCTACTTTACAAAAAAAATAATAATAATAATTGCAATGAAAAATCGATCTTTTGCTCCGGAACAAGTCCAACAATTTATTGGAGCCTTCTCACAATTTGATACGGAAGGAGATGGCTCTATCGATGTGAGACAAGTAGGCCACCTAATGTTTCTGATTGGATTAACACCTTCCGAAGAAGAAGTTACGAATATTATGAATGAAATTGAACAAGCCAACGGAGATTTAATTCAACGGAAGAGAATTGAAGAAGCACAAATGAATGAAGAAGAAATGGAAGAGCCAACCATTCGTATGGGATTTATTGATTTTCTAAACAAGCTTGAAGATTTCAAAAACATTCATCCCGAACAATTCGTGGCTATTGAATCCAATATGAGTGATGAGCTACAATAATTACACAATTTAAACTCTACTACTGTAATATTCATTAATAATTGATCATGATTGTCAATTTTAAGATTTTGGAAAGGCTCTTGGATCGGAATGCTATAATTTCGAACGTTCTGATCATCATCCAGTAAATATTTTGAGGTGCGACTTTGTTCCATTAATTAATGTATATTCTGATTATTGAAAGTTTGAATCGAGTTGAAGATCAACAACTCTTGAAATTGGGTGTTTCCCAAATTTGCACATTATCTATTTTGCCCATCATAGAAATTTGATTTAGAATTTTTCCTGAAAGGCGCCTGATATGCATAGCTGTGTTGTTATCTTCCAAGAACGGAAAGCTTCTAATTTCATGGATGACAAGGTTTGCTTTAAAGAGATGTTTATTGCATTCAATACTCGAAACCAGCCAAAAGAAAAATCATTACCCTTTTGTGTTGTCTTCCACAAACAAATTCACTTTGTCCTCATCATCATGAACACCTTAACCTCACTATTCCTGATCGGTTTCCTTCTCATGGTTGCATGTTTTGTGCCCCATGTTGAATGCTCTACAGAAGGTGGAGACACCTATCTTCCAAGAACGACCTATGCGGTTCCTCTTACCTATGCAGCAGCTCCACTCACTTATGCAGCTCCTGTGACCTATGCAGCACCTATTAGCTATGCCGCTCCTTGTCCACCACCAGTGGCAGCTCCTCTACCTGCTCCTGTCACTTATGCAGCACCGTATGCTTATGGAGGAGTGTATGCAGCGCCTTATGCTGCTCCTTGTCCACCACCAGTGGCAGCTCCTTATGCTTATCCTTATGCAGCACCTGTCACTTATGCAGCAACGCCTGTCTTGCTTGCCACTGCAGCAAAGCCATGTTAACATGTGATTTTTCAACTCGTTTCATCCTCCATTGCTTCAATTTTCACTGAAAATCAACAAGTGATACCTTTTTCTTGTTTGCCTTTGTGAATAAATTAATTTTAAAAAAATGAACGAATTTCATAATCAAGCATCACATTTGTCGACAAGTGATAGTCATTTGAATCAAATAGACCTCGTACCACCAAACACGACTGTCAAAAGTAAAAACGAAACACAACAACACATTTCTGAACCCTATAACACTGGAATGGCTAGGATTTTGACAATTTTTATGTTGGATGCACCTATGTATTTCTTGGAATGTTTGAAGTAGCAAATGGTGACTTTAAGCGTGCACAATTTTATTCTAATATTTTGAGATTTTTCGTCACTCAAGTGAAACAAATCGAATCAAAGAATCTTCCAATTCAACCAAGAATGAAAAAGTTTGTACAGATAGCTAACTTTTTACAAATGAGTTTAGAAACAAGTTCTGCAATTGATGTTGAAAATCCTTTGGCCATAGCAAAATTTTTTCCGAATATGGTTTTTGCAGACACTGGAATGCAAGAATTATCAAAGCTGACAGAAAGACTTGCTAAACTTGAAAAAGACAAACTCGATGAATATTTTTCTGTCATTGACATGGTCACTCAAGTGGTACATGAACACATGAAAATACAAGATGAGGCTGGAGACAAAAGACCTGTATTGGACATGATGAAAGTAATTGTAAGGAATGGAATGAAATTGGTGGCTGTTTTAACAGTGGATTGGAATAATTGGGAAAAGATAATGCTCTACTCGTCTAATATCACACACTTAAGCGAGAGTGAATACTTTATGTTAATTCCATCTGCTGCTGTTTCACACATTGCCAACGCATCAAAACAGCACTTGAGAGTTCTTTCAATGATGAAATTAGGATGCTTTCCAACATCCGTACTTGAGACCTATCTTGGTATTCCAAGATTTAAGAGCACTCAACATTTTGAAAGGACGTTTCGATAGAGTGGAAAAGTATTACTCGAGTCTTTTAAAAGAACTTGAAATTGTTGTGAAAGAGATTTATACTGACCAACAAGAACCAACTTTGTCAGATTTTACAGCGGACGATTTTGGTGACTTTTGGATATGAGCTTTGATTCAAATGTTTAGACCATAGACCACAATATATTGGCACAGCAGTGCAGGAATTCAAGGTTGACTACTAAACCACAACCAGCGAGATTGTCACCAAGAATTGGTTTTATTGCAATTCCTTGAAAAAGTCGTTTCCTTTATCGTCAACCACAATGAAAGCAGGGAAGTCCTTGACTTCAATCTTCCAAATTGCCTCCATTCCTAACTCTGGATATTCCAAAACTTCAACCTTCTTGATGTTATTAGCAGCCAAAATTGCAGCTGGACCACCAATCGAGCCTAAATAAAATCCTCCATACTTGGAACAAGCTTGTGTCACCTCACGACTTCTGTTACCCTTAGCAAGTGTGATCAAACTTCCACCATTTTGTTGGAATAAATCAACATAGGAGTCCATTCTACCTGCAGTTGTTGGTCCGAAAGAACCTGAAGCATAACCTTCTGGAGTCTTAGCAGGACCAGCATAATAAATAATGTGATTCTTAATGTAATCAGGTAAACCTTCACCTCGGTCAAGACGCTCCTTCAATTTGGCATGAGCAATGTCACGAGCCACAATGAGTGGACCACTCAATGAGAGACGAGTCTTGATTGGATATTTGGAGAGAATGCTCAAAATTTCTTTCATTGGTCTGTTCAAATCAATTTCTACCACATGTTCGCTCAAATCCTTTTCTTCAACCTCTGGGAGATATTGAGCTGGGTCAGTTTCTAATTGTTCCAAAAAGATTCCATCCTTAGTAATTTTACCCTTCACTTGTCTGTCAGCAGAACAGGAAACACCAATACCCACTGGGCAAGAGGCACCATGACGTGGTAAACGGATCACTCTGACATCGTGACAGAAATATTTTCCTCCAAATTGAGCTCCAATACCCATCTTTTGAGTGAGCTTCAAAATTTCCTTCTCCAATTCAACATCACGGAATGCTCTACCTCCTGGGCTTCCTGTTGTTGGCAATTCATCATAGTATTTGGTACTTGCCAATTTCACAGTCTTCAAAGTAAGTTCTGCACTCAAACCTCCAATAACAATTGCCAAGTGGTATGGTGGACAAGCAGAGGTACCGATTGATTTAATTTTTTCCTCCAAAAACTTCATCAATGAATTTGGATTCAACAATGCCTTAGTTTGTTGATACAAGTAGGTCTTGTTAGCACTACCACCTCCCTTTGCAATAAACAAGAACTTGTACTCGTCACCATCGGTGGCAAACAAGTCGATTTGTGCAGGCAAGTTGCAACCAGTATTCTTCTCCTCATACATGGTGAGTGGTGCGACTTGTGAATAACGTAAATATTGCTGAGTATATGTCTTGAATACTCCTTCAGAGATGTGCTTTTCATCCTGTCCATCGGTCCAAACATATTGTCCCTTCTTGCCCATAACAATTGCAGTACCAGTATCTTGGCAACCAGGAAGCTTTCTTCCAGAAGCAATCACAGCATTCTTCAAAAGAGTCTTGGCAACAAAACGATCATTGTCGGAAGCTTCAGGATCCTTCAAAATGTTTGAAAGTTGTTTCAAGTGAGATGGGCGCAACAAGTATTGAATATCGGAAATGGCAGCCTGAGTAATTGCGGTTAATCCTTGTGGATCTACCTTCAAAATTTCTCTAGTCTCTCCAGTCTTTTCATCTCTCACTTTAAGAGATGAAACGTAATCTTTAGTAATTAATCGGTATTCGGTTTCATCCTCTCCAACTTGGAATAAATCCTCGTACTTGAACGTAGGTCCTGTAGAATAACACGATGATGATGTTGAACCAGCTCTCATCATCAACAAGGATGACAAGGATTTGTTTTGAACCACGCCAAGAGAACGGAGGAATGTCTTTGCTGAGGATTGGCTTCGAAGCATTTTTTTTGATAAATTAATTTTTTTTTTAAAATCTCCAGAACTCAACTCCCGAAAAAGAGCGATGGGATAACTTGAATTCACAACATTGTCAACAATAATAACTCTCAATCAACCATTCACCATGCAATTTGTTTTGAAAAATAATCATCTTGTTATTCATGAAGAAATTTCAAGCTCATCTAGTTGTTGGAAAGTTTGCAATAGAGTTTGTTTTTCTAATAAACTTGTGGCAGCTGCTACAAATAATTTAAAATCTTTTGACACAAATTGATTTTCATGCTGGAGAATCGCCGAGTAGCTGCTAAATCCTTTTCAAATTTAGAAAATGAATAGCAGGATTGCTTTTCACATTGAGCTCCAAAATAACCATCATTGCATTCACAAGTATTTGTAGCCACACAAGTTCCTCTTCCATTACAAACATTTGATTTTGTCGAAAGTATTCCAAAACACACAGGTAAGGCTACTGAACAATTACTACCAATAAAACCTTCTGGACATTGACATGTATCCAAAAAGGTACAATTTCCAACTCCTGAACACACATTGGATTCATTTCGTAAAATTCCAAAACATTTAAAAATTCTACAATCCTCTCCTGTGATGGCATGATGTTTACAACGACAAGTGTCAGGTGCAACACAAAATCCTGCAGAATTACAAACCGTGTCATCGGTTGCGTTCTTAGAGAAACAGGTCCATTCGGTTCCAACTACTGCAAGACCATGTCGAAGACCTGTTGCAATGGCATATGGAATGGCACCATTTTGTTGTGATTTTGAAAAAGTCAGAGTGGGAGTGTCAGAGATGTCATTTTCAAGTGTTGGACTCACTTCAAAGAATTCATTCATACCCATTCCGTAGACATTGCCTTTTCTTGTCATTAAATGAATGTCAAAATTGTATTTGCTTCCTCTTTGATCCTCATTTCTGTAAGTGGAAATATCAATGACAGAATCGGTGGGATCTGTAAGATTTAACACTTGTGAAGTTCCTCCCATATAAACCATGGCAACTCCATCATCCGATAATAATACAGCATAATCATAACATACGACCTTAATAATTCGTTTCGAATCAATGATTCCACCTTGTAATTGAACAAAATAAGGAATTGGATCTTCAGTTGTGGCATTTGTCAATCGTAGTCCAGTATTAGATCCTGCTCCGAATACCTTTCCACTCGAAGAAACAATAAACGACACCCCATTACATGCTGCAATATCCATGATCGAATCCATTCCTAAAATGGTCGTATTCAATACAGTAAAGGTCGTGACACTCTTTATGGTACTCGCTAAATTTCCCATATTATTATCTCCAGATCCAACCAATGTTCCATTACTCAATAAGAGGAGTGAAAAATCAACACCAGCCGACACTCGTTTCACTTTCCAGTCGGGAGTGTCAAGTAACAAGTCGACACGAGTGGCTTCCGTGGGATTCGATCCAAATTGAAAGGCACTACTGGCACCGAAACCAATGACATTTCCTTGATCTGTCAAAACAAGAGCATGAGTTTTCAAATAGCTCACATCGACAATAGTTTCAGAAGTAAGCAACGAGTCATAGAGATTTGCGGAAGGAGATTTCACAGGTGGTACCATTCCTAAATTTAAATTACTCGAACAAACTCCCCAAAGATGAAGTGACGATTTTGTGGAATTTGGTTTCATCACAACGACAAGATTACAATCCTCTCCACTTCGAACAATGACTTTGCTGAATTGACCCAATTCAGGTTCAGAACTATTGAGAAAAGGTCTGAATGGAGTTGGTGGATTTTGAGTGATAGGTTGTGCATATTGAATTTGTAAATAATCATCAAAACAATTCTTTCCTCTAGTATTGTCACCCCATGTAAATACTTGTTGATTGGATAAAATAGCAATTCCTCCTTCCCTTAATAACTTGAAATAAATGACATCCGCTGAATCCAAATTGGGAACGAGAGAAATTTGTTGTTGGATCGTTCCTGTCACTGGCGATGCACCAAATGTGAAAACTTTTCCACTAATCAAACAACCAGTAGCTCCTGTTGCAGCACTACAATCTTGCACTTGTGGAGAAGAAATGGACAATGTAGCCACATCATACAGAGATTGAGTCAAATTGAAAGGTGAATTTTGATTACCAACTCCAGTGCCAGTTGTTTCAAAATTGTCATCCTTTCCCCATGTAAACACTTGTCCTTTTTTCGTCCACGCCACGACATGAGATTCCATAATGTCAGCTCCTACAAAAGGTCCTGTCACATCATAATCGAATGGTATGAATTGAGGAATATTCACAAATGAGGTCTGGCTTACATCTGAAATTCCAAGTCCCAATCCTCCATACTCATTACTTCCCCATATGAACACATGTCCTGTGGAATTAATGGCCAATGCAATATGAGTATTCTCAAAATCATTGGAACCAGCGACAATTTTTGAAATATTTCTCAAGGAAGGAATCCATGCTGGAGTGGTGACCGTCTCAGTAGTGAACGTATGACCTCTAATTCCAGTGTTATTTCCACCCCATGAATACACAAATCCCTCACTAGTCAATGCAAAATAAGTTTCATCACCAAAATGACCTGCTTGTTCCACTTGAATCACCTTTACAGGAATTTCAGAAAAAGTTTCTGGATTTGTCATGGTCAAAGGAAGGCCACTGAAAAGAGTCCAAGCTCTCAAATACAAGAGATGAATGAAAATCTTTCCATCTTGTGTTAAGGCCATACAAGTGAACCAACAGGTGAGTTGAATGACTTTTTCATTTCTTAAAGGATTGATGGATAATAAGGCATCGTTGCTAAAGGTGTAAATGGGAGACATGGGTGAAACTGCATATGGAGGTTTATAGTAGTAACCTATATATTGAATAGAGGTGTATGTATGTGTATGTTGTGGTATGACAGTAGAAGAAGAAGGTGATTATGATGAGGATGAGGATGAACAGATGATCATGAATATGGTGAAAGATCATTTCGGGTGGAAAGAATTACCATGATCATATGTATGAACATCGAATAGAACATCATGCGATTCAAAAACATTATTATCATCATGGAATCATTGTTATCCAATGCATCATAAAGTCATGTGAATCAATCATTGATCCATTACTTACCCAATTGGTTATTTCCATTGTCACCACATCCAAAGATAGTTTCATTCACAAAGCCACCAGAAGAGTTCAAATAATGCACAAGAACCATCTTGAATGAAAATCCATCAGCAACAGTGATTGGACTCGCATGAACATCCAATGACGACGATTGACCAAAATGATTATTGACAGGGTTGTAGGAATAGGTATTGTTGAAGGCTAAATGTTCAAATCGAAGGTTTCGGATGGGAGTATTTGAGGAGGAAATGTAGGGATAACCACATCGATTAAATTCATTATTTCCCCACGTAAGAATTTGATTAGTTGGATACCAGAGTGTGTTGTTGAGGATGGATTGAGCGGAGACTTGGAGAGTGAAGAGGATGAACCATAATAATAACAAACTTGTTGTGAAGGAGGGGAAGGACAGAAGACGGCGATGGAATGATGGTCGAGTTGTTGGTGGCAATGAAAAAGCGGTCATGCTTGGCGTTGACAAGTGACACTCGCGATTATTTTTTTAATGTCTTTAAATGATATGTTTCAAGTTCACAAAGCAAATTGATGTCGTCCATAAGATCTCTCGGAGATGGGCGCTCCAATTTGGGTTTATAAATTGAAAGAAGGCCACGTTCAAGCCGTGTCAGAGAAAACGATAGAACGATTCTTCAACAACATTAAAAAAACATTATCAAGTAACATTTATTATTGAGACCCGGGACTTCGAAAAAATATTACCCTTGGGGACAAGAAGTAATTCTTATTAGTAAATTCTCAACACCCGCCTCACTATTTTCTGATCTGAAAGTTTCTAATTGCGACTGCCATCTTGACTACGTATCTATGTTGAGTGTCGTCTTCAGTGAAACAAGATGACAAAGATTTCCACTTCAGCTTAATTTGACCGAACGGACATTCCACTCTCGATCTTAATGATTTTAGCAAGTTATTTTGAGCTTGTTGTTTTTGCGTCAACTTCTTGATTCCTCTTCCGTCTTTTGCCGGTCTTCCTTTTGGTTTTGATTTTGGGGTGACAATTTTGATTTTTCTGAACTTGCTGACAATAGATTCGTATCCACAATCACCAAGCATAACAGCACCTTCTATAGATGTTTCTATTTCATCTTTCATGAGCGTCATAAAGGCACTATCTTCGACTTTTGGACTATAAGCTCCGTAGAGTTTTCTAATTCGTCCTGTGGCATCCAAAAAACCGATTTGCAAAATGATCTTCTTTATAGGAGTGTTCATCACTTTTCTTAAAAGCATTCTCGGGTTGTGTCTTTTTGAAATCGGAGCTGTCGGTCCATAAATCTTTAAAAAAAAAATATGCAAAAATCACAATATCCAACAAGAAGAAGGCTTTTTCACTCACAAAAATTATAGGAATTCACAATCGTGTAGACTCTATAAAAGAACGATTGCACCGTAAATTCACTTGGAATATAAGGTGGAATGACTCCATGATTTTCAATTAACAATCTTTCCACCTCAGTCACATATTTGGAGACACTCTCTGAATCATGCATGTTCAGAGTAATTGCATTTGGTGTACCAATCGATTCCAAATAAGGAGCTTGACTGGTGTAGACTTCATCGGAGGGTTTTCCCATTTCACTCAATTTTCGAGCCTTAATGAGAGAATTGAAAATCACTGCTCCATAGGCGAGAGCTTCCAAACAACTTGGACCAATGAGTGGTTCTCCAAGACCCACATAAATGACACTCTCTTTCAATGCTTGAACATAAAGTTGATGAGAGGGAAGAATTCCTAAATTGGTAAATTCAATTTTGGAAAACTTTGATTTCACTTTTTGGAAATCGGTGGGTGTTAGAGTGGTTAGTAATTCAAATTTTTGAGAAATAATTTCTAAATAGCTTGATGGAACATGTTCAAAGTATCTTGTTTCTTTGGCCCATATCAAAGCTCTATACTTTCCAGATTTGGAATTTTTAACTTTTTTCCCAAAAGTAGGATCCATTAAATTTTCTAAAGAGAATGGAATTGCAGTTCCCAAAAATTGATTGACTGGATCTGGAATTTTCTTTGGCTGAAAGGTCAAGTATTGTTTCATTTCCAAATTCCAACAACAATATGAATCCATATCTCTGTTAATTTTCATCATGGTTGATAAATTCATGGAATTGTAATTGGAGGTTGTGCCAAATGAATCCAAAACTCGTAATTTGCATTTCAATTTACTTTCCATATCGATGGTTCGTTGAGAATCGACTGTATTACCATTTTTGGAATTGATGTCATCTTTTTGTCGAATCAAATTCAATTTCTTGGAAAAGTACATTTTCATTACTGAATAATCTGTAAAAATCACATCAAAGGATTGCAATTCATGTTGTGGAAGAACTTGCTGAACTAACTCATTAAAATCATGCACATAATAAACATGATAATTCTGAAGAGAAAGTGCCATAATTAAATCTGTCCATTGAGAAAGTTCTCCTCGAGGATGAGGACCAATTCCATTGAATCCCAACGAATATAAATAATTAAATATTAAAATCTTCTTTTTTGGAGATTTTTTTTCGAAGAGAAATTTCTTTTCATTGAGAATTCCACTTTCGAGCCATTGTGGAAGAGAATGTGAGATTTTGGATTTCATCCATTCCACTCGGAGAGGTATTTTAAAATTTGAGTAAAATTGATGTTTGATTCTTTGACGAAGTGTCAATAATTTTGGATTCTTTTTAATGGAATTCGTCAAGTTTTTGTGAATAGTATTCTGTAATTCCTGTTGTAATTGATTTATTGTTGCTTGCAATTCAGATAATTCCATGGAATGATTAGTTTTTAATTGTGCAATGAATCGTTCTTGTTGTGTTTCCATCAAAATGCAATTATTATCGAATTCGACTTGTTGTTTCTGATACCGCATGGATTGCTGTTGATGCATGGTGTGAATCACCAAAAGAATGTTGACGGCAAGAACGAGAAGAATGAGCAAAAAAGAACAACGGTGTGAAAGACTTGGGTATGACATGAAGTGTGGAGTTGAAATTTTTTATGAAAATTTCTGTTCTGGTGATGTTGAAGTTTGAAAGGCTAAAATCGCAGAAAGTTTGCCTCACATGAGGCGAAACAAATCCTCTGTTGATTGAATGTAATTGTCAACCGGAAAGAGAAGGACCTATGTATTCGTTTATGTTGAAGTGGGCTAAGTGGAACAAGGTCAATATAATTCACCACATCATACATCCCTATAACATTCCAACAGCACTCGAATGCATGAACGCAACACAAACTAATGCAGAGCCTAACCTCCAAAGAGCAATAAAATTATTTCGTTCCCCAAAAAACCTTTTTCAGCTGATCGTATATTCGTTTATTTGACGGAATAGTTGAATCCAATCAATGTGTGATAATCATTAACGCTAAATTAATCACACAGTGATTGGATTCTTGTCTTTGATCTGATTTTATTTCGATCACTGAACCATTTCTTAATTAGAACAATCAGCAGCTAGAACTATCTTGGTTGATTGGCAGTTCGCTGTGGCTGCGGGTTTGATAGGACTTTTTATACATCAAAAATGTACCAGTGACAAGAAGGTGGTCTTTTCTTTGAAGATGAACTAGTTGAATTTGTATTTTTTGCATTCAAGTCTAAGCCTCTTGTTGATGAATTATTAGAACCTTCGTAATTGAGGAGCCTAAAGTTGAGGATACTTTCCAAGCCTTCCTAAAGATTGAAAGGATAATTCTTCAATCGAAACAAGAGAACGTTTCGTTTCAAAGATTTTAATTTCGTTTCGCCATGTTGAAAAAAGACTTGAGTGAAGGATTTTTTAGAAATGCGCGCCAGCATGCATGAATTGTAGGAAATAATATCAAATGCAGATTCTTTGTTCCTCTCCAAAGAATAATTGTCAGCTCAATAGTATGGTCTTGTGGAAAATTGGATGATTTGAAGTAGATCTAAATGCGAGTGCCTGATACATCTCTTGGAGACAAATTAATTTCCACCACGACATCATCCGATCCAAAAATGTTTTGTGTCCATTCATATTGATATTGAGAATCTTCACATTTTTGCTTCCTTAATAAATTTCTGAAATTTTTTCGATGTCCACATAAAAAGAGAATATCTGTTGTTTGTAAATAAACAGTGAGTGATGGATTAGTGTAAACATAGCGTTGTTGTTCACCAAATTTGAGTCTGCTGATCGCCAGTAAAATAAGATCATGCTCGAAACATGCACTCGCTATTTTTTTGGTCAAATACGTTCCATATGGCAACCATCCGTCAATATTAAACAATATTAGGACCTACCTAGATCTGCAACTGTCATGTTTGCAAAAACAGAGGGTATGGGCACTTCAAAAATAACGGATTGATTTTCACCAGCCACAAACTCGTCGGCACACATTTGATCAACCAAATCAACAATTCTCTTGTTGTGAAAAGATTGTGCCAGAACCTTACTTAGGAATGAGGAGGAAGGAAATACCCTTCCTGCACATGTTGAAGTGTGACAATTATAGTTCATCATTCGCTTATAACAATGAAATGCTGCGACCAAAAAACATACCAGAAATGTAAAAATCTGAAAATAAGCAAAATTGGTCGAACTCATCAATATCATAATCTAACAATCCTCTTTCTCTCAAAAATCTCACTTTTTGATAGGTAGGGATTCCTTCATGCTGGAAGAATTTCAAGTTAGATCTGTTCACTAACTCTAGTAAATAATTCTTCTCTGGATCCATGACAGCAATGCCCAGTGCTAATTTAATTGCTTCAGAGTCCACTGTGTATTCATTTTCTTCACTTGTAGCATCTTCTGAATTATCAAAACCAAGTTCCATTAAAGTTTGATCTTGTGTAAAGTACATGACAGATTTTGCAACTGAAAAGCCAGCTCGGCTCAAGTCATGACTTTTCATTGGATTACCAGATAGAAAGTAAACGCCAGAAAAATGTTTCAATCTTTCATATAAATAATTGAAATACTTGTCTACCAAATGTGTCATAAACACTATGGGTGTAAACCTGTTCTTTCGTTGCAAGGATCTGACAATAGAGCAGATAATTAAGGGTTGTTTAAACTCTCCTAACACTAAAATATGATCCTTAATCTCGAATGGAACTTTAAAACTTGATATTAGAAATTCCTCTTTTGGCTTTGGAGTTGCAATCATATTATAACTCTTCATGACACTCGCATAAAAATCTTTTTCTGCTTCTTCAAAAGCTTGGCCGCTGAGATTTTCTCGAAGTGATTTCAACATCATTCTCTTCTCGAAAAAGTAAGGCTCAGGAGAAATAAGTTTGAGTAAAATTTCTAAATGAAGAGTATTCACTTCCTCAACCTCTTCATGCTTTCCTCTGAGCAAGTAAATGTCTGCATTGTATTTTGTGGAGGATCTACTTCGTGTATTCTTTTTAGTGGGGACCTTTGTCTCTCTTCTAAAAGAAAACATCTTGTAAGGTCGTTTCTGTTCCTTATAGTCTGTTCTTGTACTATGGGAGAAGTCAGTTGCGTTGTTCTTTTGTTTTTCTTCTAATTTAATAACCTCTATTTCTCCCTTTGTTTTTTCATCATCATTACTGACTTGTTCTGACCGAATGTATTCCGCAAATTTCGAATTGAAGCATTCCATTTCAATATCATCTTCTTTCTTGGGTACTGCTGCAAGGACTTCATAGCGTTGAGTTTTTCTTCTCTTGTTGAAATGGAGAGAGAGCTCTTCCGCTGTAAAATTGAACTCTTCAACTTGCTTGGCATGCTCAATGTCTCTGGCAATGCAAAAGCACTTGTCTTCGGATTGAATGGCATATCTGGAAGGGTTTAAGTAAATTCTTCCTGTTGTTCCATCCTCGATGGCAAAAACAATAATTTCTAACCTGGTAAAAAGCAATTCAGCAACATCAATGAAAAGCTTGTTTAAAAATATAGGATTGAATTGAGCTCGATAAATTTCACAATTTAGACCTTCAGAGTATTCCACTAGCCACTTAATGTCACGCTCAATAGAGGAATGATCTTTAACAGTGTTCATATTCATTTTAAAGTCATTTCCAGTAAGTAGACCCTTTGGAATATTGTCTTTGCAAATTGATACATCAGCTCCACTTAATAAGTTAAATAAAAAACAGCAAAAACCAGCCGAATTCACGGAGGCAGAGAGAACTTTGGAGCATAAGATGTCGTTACAAACAACGATATTAGCTCCTGCCTTTATGGCATAATGACGTGATTCAATCAGATTAATTTGAGCATAAACTTTCAAGTTTTGATTAAAGTTTTTCAGTGCAATGGTGGTCATAATAACTGATGTGTCCTCCTTCCTTGCATTTCCCATCTTTGGGCTATTTAACAAGAATACACTATGAGCTTGAGAAATTTTCAAGAGATTCATCATATCATAATTCATAATGTCGCCACAAAGCACATGAATCTTGTTTTTGAAATCGCACTTTCTCAAACTCTCTTTCAGTTGGTCGCAAAACTCTCGTTGCTTGAATAGCACTAAAACATGTTAATCGTATGTCAAAAGGTTCCAATGTTAAACCTAAACTTACAGATGATTTTTTTGACCTTTTTTCTCTTGTATTGAAAGCATTCTACAACCTTGTAGTTAACAAGTGATGACAATTTTAAAATGCAACTTACCTTTGATGAAATCAACAACTTCATCTACTCTACATTTTCCTGTTACCACTGCATGATTTTTGAGTATGGGATTCTTAACCTTGAATACACTCTTTTCACTGGTCACAAGCTCATAAATTCCTGATATTTGTAGTGGAATTAAAGACACACCAATCAAGAAGAATACAATTACTGCAAATCTTGACGGAACAGTTGTTGGTGACTAGAATGTGTGTATTAATGAGAATTCAAAGTAAATACATATAAATACTTACAATATCTCCGTATCCAATTGTGAAGATGGTGATCGCAATAAAATACAACGCGTCATGAAAATAAATATCCTTATCTCCAAAAAACTTCTCCATCCACTGGAAGACTCCTGTAAAAATAACCAGTAAACACAACACTGTAAAACCTAGCTCCGCAACTTTTGCCAACACTGAATTAATGTCACCCTTAGAAGAAATTCGCTTAATGAGTGGAATTATTCTCAATAGTCTCAATACTCTCAACAATCCTACAAATGCATACATGTCACCAACATCAATGGAAGGATTGAATGAAATTATTGTAATGGTTAAAGAAGGAATAACTGTAATATAGTCGAGCAATGAGAGCGGTTTGAAGAAGTACTTGATTCTAAAGAGGATTCATTTTGTCCAATAAACAAATATCCACCGTAAGGAATCCTCAAAAAGAATTTTGTTGCAATACTTACTTGTCCTTAGTTAATAGCAAATTAATGATAAAAAACACAATAAATAGACTCGAAAAGATCAAATCCAAAACGCGCAATGCCATTAAACTTCCATCGATGTCCATTTGAATGTATGAAGAAACAATGAAAAACGCTGCTGACAAAATGGACAATACTGTTTGAAGCACTTCCATATCAAAGGTAAAACTCGAGAGGAATTGCTTCCAGTCAATTTTCTTTGGCCCAAAAATGTGATTCATCCTGTCATGTTGTTCCTCCAATTCATTGAATACATTCCTTTTAATGACTTGATCCATCCCTTGTATGATGTTAGCATTGCCTTTGTGATGATCGAGTTGAACTTTGAGATCATTCTTTGATCTGACTTGCTCATTTGTACGGACGACCTCATCCTGGATCTTCATGGCAGTTGGAACAGCCTTTCCTTCATCTTCCTCTTCTTCTTTGGTATTGCTGCATTCGGAAAAGGCAGCGGGCCATTGCTCCAAATCCTTCGGTGAGAGGGTGTAGCCAGTGAGTACCGCTTGACTGGTTTGGAGATGTGTCATATTATTAATAATAATGATATTTAATATTGGCCTGATGATGATGATGATAATGAATGAAAAAGAACGGAGAGCACAACACGAGAGAGAGAAAAACTTCTGAGAGAGAAGAAAGACTCGTTCATAGGACTTCTTTTTCGGATGATGAATTCATTATTTGTGATCAATTCATACAACATGTCAATGAATCACCAATCATGGGAGATACAAAAAGTGGAATCAATATTCCGCCATTTAAATTGTAGTTATTATATATAAATCTTGTCTCATCATCATCTCATACGGAATCATTTTTGAAATCGGGGATTCAACTTTAAATCACAATTTCATCAGTGCTTGTTCTTCTATATTCTGCTCGTACATGATCTTTTTTTCAAACCGCGATAATACTAGCTCCTCTTCTTGATGGATGAAATACCTTTCAGATACTACTAATTAACATTCAAGTGCATCAGGACAATGATGGCATTTTGAAAAAATTGATGGGCAAAAGATATTGGTGGATTTTCGTTGTAAAATTTTAAAAAAATTCAAACATAAAAAAATACTCAACATCACACTTCTGCAAGTTTGTGAGCTGCGAGAGGCTACGTTTTGAGAATCATTTGACGACGAGTGTTTGAGCGGGAGGATTGGATTCTGTGTAATTTTATAATTCAACATAATTTACTATATTGTCAGTGATAATTCTAGAGTATTTGAACATCAGCACGGATACAGCAACCGTCATCACACCACCGATACAACAACAACCTATTATTCTTCTTTCTACTATTTTGATAGTGAAAATCATTTGAAAAATTCTTCCTCAGTTTCCTTCCTTACATCATTTTTTGATCATCAAAATATTTTTAAAGCACAAATTCGGCTGTAATCTTCACATTACAACATCATCAACTACAATCAACAAATCATTATTTATTAATCGTGATCGCTAAATTACCACACGATGCCATCAAATACTGTAGATAGCCTTTCAAAATTCCTCCAAAAATTCGAATTGGAGGTGCTAAAGACCATGGCTCAGAATGCTCTTTCTGAAACAAAACAAGAAGATGTCGGTGAACTCAGCAACGATCTCATTGACTGGGCTTACGAACAAGGAATTAAGAAATTTATTGGACAACTTGATGCTTCTACTCTTAAAACATCCATGGAAGAGGCTGGAGTGAAGGATGTTGATGCAAATGGTTCCAAAGAGGCTCTAGGTGAGAAATTTTTAGACAGTGTTGAGCAAGACGAAGGTGGACCTGAAGGATTCTTGTCAAGAATGAAAGTCGCCACTCTTAAAAAATTTGTGAAAATTCTGGGATTTGAAACAGACGCCAATGATCAACAACAATATGCTGAGGATATTTCTGATGAGTTGTTGCTTAATGGAACACGAATGCTATTTGATTTTGTTGACGAAGAGGCCTTGAAAAAGACGTCTAAAAAGATGAACTTAAAAGTTCCCAAGTCAGCATCGAAATTAGTCGTTCAAGACATCCTGTTAAATGAAGTATTTCCAGGTCTCAGCCCAGAAGAGGAAGAGAAACCAAAGAAAGAAAAAAAGGCTAAGAAATCATCATCCGAACCGAGTGCAAAGCAAACACGAGAAGAGATTAATGAAAAGATTAAGCGTGAAAGATCTGATCTTCCTGATTGCAAAACTTTTGACGACATTTTCCAAAATTACTGGGTTGATGAATTAAGAGATTTCTGTAAAAAAAATGACATTAAGAGCCAAGGAAATAAGAAAGATCTTATTAAGAGGATTTTAGCATTCAACATGGATCCAACTAATAGAGGCTTTACTGAAAAGAAGAGAAAACGTAAGACTGGAAAATCTTCTTCTAAAAAAGAAAAGAAAGAACATGCTACAACAAATGGAGATGCCAGTGCATCATCAACACCTAAGGAAGAATAATTTATTTATCATCAGCTCTATCTCAAGTACTTCAAATCTCTCTCTAGTTTGTAAAGTTATGTTTCATAAAAAACGTCACAAATTTAACGTTGTATTAAGTGAGTGTCTGCCTTTTAATGGGCTGATGATGTTTGGTAGGCATGTGGCATTTTGCCATCTCTTATCTCCGAATATCTGCAACAAAATGAATCGAAAGCTCCTCAGCGAAAAGGAACTAGCTGAATTTCAGAATCTTTATGAGTTTCTTATGATTGACGATTACATTCAAGAGATGATGCAACACCCATGCACGCCAAGGCCAAACAACATGGAATATCTCATCGTCACTCCACGACAACCACAAACGCTTAATCCGAATGGGGCCACAAGCTCAAAGTTGCTCCAAAAGCGAATGACCGCCAAACAAATTAAAAGTTTGTTCAAACGCACTGGATTCGAAGTGAGTGACCAAGTCATTCAAGAAATCGTCTACCCCAACAGAGCAAAAACAAGATCTTCATCCAAAAAATCGCGACGTCATTCACGGTCATCATCCCTAACAAGAGGGTCTCTTTCATTCGCTAAGTTTCTTTCACTGGCCAACACAAAACCTTCCATTAGAATTTGTGTCACAAAAAATCAAGTATTGCAAGCGTTCAAAATACTAAGCGAAGATTGGGCAGATGAAAATGGTTGGATAGATTGTGATGTTTTAGAAAATTATTTGATGAATTTTTCATATCATACAGAAAAAGCATTTGAGGCCAATAACGCTGATTACTCTCTGGAAGAGTTATGTGACACAGAGAGAACCCATACAACCACTGAATCTACGCACAGGTCATTTCTTAGTGAAGAAGTGAGAAAGTTTTTGGACCAAGATTTTGCAAAAGTCAGGAATATGTTGGATCCTTTTGAAACTGGTCAGTTTAACTATCAAAAGTTCATCGATTTGGCTTTTGGTGACCAATGTCAAACTAGACAATAAGCATAGATGCAGTTTCATCAAGTCATCGTTCGACATTTGTTTGCAATCTCACAGAAGCAGAAAATGTCCAATACTCACTAAAATGAAATCCTAAGATAAAGTTTGTTTAACACTAGTTGTTATTCAAATAGGATGAATAATCAGTTAAACTATCGGTATCATGGTAGTTAGTGCTATATAACTGTTGAATGTCTTCCAAATCAAGGAATGGTTCAAATAAGTCCGTTGTTTGATTTTCAGGAATGTTGTTGAATAGATTTGGTGTGGTGGAAGATGATTGAAAAATTCCATTCAACAAATCTTGATAATTTGTCGTTGTGGTTTCGTTTTGAATCTGTTGATGCTGAGGAGTGAAATGAAAATTAAGTTGCTGAGCTTGGTTAGAAATAAATTTGAAAAAATCTTTTGCTGAATTCATATTTCCTAAAGCAGAGAAGTCCATATTGGGTGGAGAATCGTTGTTGTCAATGTTGCTGTAATTTACAGGAGTGGGAGGTTCGATGGATGTATTGGACGCCAGCATTTGTGGCTGATGATTGTGATGATTGTGTTGTAATAATTGAGCGGATGTGCCAGTAAGAACATGAGTAGGTAATGTTAGCGTGGAAAATAACTGTTTTCTTTGAAGAATTTCCTCCACTTCGTCCAATAGTTTCTTGTTTTGGAGTAGAACCTTCTTAAATCTTTTCCCTAACATTCTTAATCCTCTCAAATCCTTTGACAAAACATCATAATAATCAACTGATTCTAATGTGGAATTGACGTTATTTGGAGAATTCACCGCATCAAAATGTTTTCTTTCACCACGTTCGATGGACTTAACAATGTGCATGTGAACTTTAGTTGCCGCAACAAGATGAGGCACAATAAAAGGAGGTAGCAAATGAAAGAAATTTGATTGTGTTGCCTTGGTAATCGTGATTGCGCTTTCCTCGATCATATCTCTTCCGCATCCAACAGCACTCAAAATTCCAATTTTAATTCCATTGACAACAAAAGTGGCAGCATCATCAAATATTTTGAGCAGCGTTTCATCACGTGTTTTGCTTAAATGAATTCTTCCTATTTGTTCCATGGTCTCAATAATCTTAATGATCAACATATAGTTATTGATGTTTAAATGTTGTGTGACAAGACTTTTCCAAACAGTAGGAAACGAAAGTCCTAAAAATGTTTCATAAACTTCCACCCAATCTCGTATCAGTGTCATGATACTTGAATCGTTTTTACATCCTAGTGTGATGAATTGTTGGTGTTTTTTCAAATTTTTATGATAAATTGTAAGATTTTGTTTCTCCTCTTCAGACATCTCATCAAAGTAAAAATTAAGAAAATGCAAATAAAATTTCGCGTTTTTGACTCGTCCACATGCGGATTCATATCCAGCCATAAATGCATAAGCACATGCCACGTAAAAATTCGAATGTTTGTCAAAAATCTTGGAGAGCGCTTCATGAGCTTTTTTAATGGTTTCTTCAGCTCCTTCCATACCCATTTGTTGTTCATAGTAAGCCTTCATGGCCAAAAACATGGCAAAAACCTCCTTCTTATTGTCAACAATGAACTCAGACGCATTTTCAAGATCCTCCTCAGAATCTTTTGTTGACCTTGAACTTGTTCGATTGGAAAGGTACCTCTCAAGATCTTGCCTTTCAATTAGGCGCTCAGAATTTAGAGTGTAATAAATATCAAGAACTTTTCGCTTATCGAGATGTTTCTCTGTTGTTGGGTGTTGAATTGCTCCAGGATATGGGAGTCCTATGGCTGGTTCCACTAAGTGACTTGAGCTGAATGTTGCATCTGAGCCGTGGATTTTAGGTTTCCATGAATTTCTTCCCTTTCGTTGAGGGTTACTGTACTCGCAAGTAACCCCCCGAGTGAGACATTTTGTACAAGAAGGAAGTTTTTTATCACAACCTTTATGCAAACGTCGACATCGGTTGCAAGAAATAGGATGAAAAGTGGTTTGATCCTCCGATGAGGAAACTGAGATATCTTCATTACTATTGGATGACAAAGAGGAAGATGTATTCATGGATGGCACAAATGAAGGTTCCTGTTGATGAGTTGTTTTCAAACAAGAAGATGACGGAGGTGTCATTGAATTTTGATTTTCGGAATTGGAGTTGCTACTATTTACAGAGATCAATACAATGGACGAAGAGGAAGAAAAAGGATTGCTATTGGCTGGATTCGTAAGAGTTAAATAATTTTCCCGAATCATCATCACGAGGAAGCTCAACTTGTGCAATGAATGGATCCAAAAGAAGTGTTGAGGTAATTTTTTGTAAACTGAACGCAAGTGTAAATTCTTCAGAACTATGAAAATCTCCCATTCGTATACTTCTCTTAGAAGCCAAGCAAACATTAGAATATTTAACTGCACTGCAAAACGATCATTGCACAAATATATTCCACTTGGAATCCATCCTACTGGATTTCAATTCAACGTTGTGGACAATGAGAAAATGTTCATTCCCAACAAAAATGCTTGGCTTTCTTAGAAGCCAAGCATTCCCAACAAAAATTGTTCGTTGGAATCTCTTTGAGCGGGGTTTGAAACGGCGGACCTCAAAAGCGGGCTCAAATGTTTCCCGTCACTTTCCAATCTGGGAAACTAGTGAAATAAAGCTCAAAGCGCAAAAGTGAACCAATAAAGCGGACTCAAAAAAAACAAATTCAATACAACAAAGCGTCTGCTCGTCTGTTTTCTTCAATAGCCCATTCCTCTCTTGCTCTCAAATATACATTTCAACCAAATTCAAAATCATGTCATTGTGGGAACTGTTATTGGCAGGTCTCGCTCTTCTTGTTGCCTCTGCATTGTTCATTGCTCTCTCGACTTTCAATCATTGGAGAAAAGTAAAGCACATTCCAGGCTCCTGGCAACCCTTGCATTTGTTTCATAAAACTCCCTTCCTCTCTCCTTACTTGTATTGGGGTTGTCATGATGATGTGCTCCAACTCCGTAAAATCATGGGAGATCCCAAGACTCATACACTCCGAATGAGTTTATGGAGTCACAATAGTGTGTCCATTTGTGATAAGGACTTGTTGAAAGAAGTCATGGTCATAAAAAGTCATGATTTCATCAAGCAGAAAAAAATTTATGATTTGTTTAATACCTTCGGAGAGAATATCTTGTCAGCTCTTGAAATTCAAGGAGATAATTGGAAACGACATCACCGAGTCGCTTCAGGAACATTCTCAACTAAGAATCTGGAATACATGTCTCAAGTAGCTGTGAATAGTGTCGATTTGGTTCGTTCTGCCAAATGGGACAAAGATTTGGAACAAGCTTTCAAAAAAGGAAAAAAGGGAATTCTTCTGGATGCAAATGCAGATTTCAGTGATGTCACTTTGGATGTGTTAGGAAAGGCTGGTTTTGGTCTCGATTTCTCAATCTTTGATGGAGTCAACCCCGAAGGAAAAGTGTTCAGACGTTCTCTCGAATTCATGTTGTCGACAGGTGTCATGTGGGGATTTTTATTCACCAATTTGTATCCTGCCTTATCTTTCTTATTGCCTTTGGTGAACAAGTTGACAGGTGTGGAGAAGGCCGTTCAAGTGGTAAGCTCCACTCTTGACAGGATCATTGCAGAGAGACGAAAAGAATTGGAATTGAATGCTGCTGTGAATTCAGAATTTTCTGCCGATTCCACAGAAGAACGAAGAGATTTACTGAGTGTCGTGGTGGAGGCCAATCGAGAACAGAAAGGAATTCTCACCGATCAAGAATTGAAATCCGACGCATATGTATTCAGTTTGGCAGGCCATGAAACAACTGCCACGGCCATGCAATGGTGTGTCTATGAACTCGGAAAACGACCAGAAATCCAACAAAGAGCACGCGAGGAGGTGGATCGAATTTTAGGGAAAGGACCAAATGCAAGAAAACCCTATTTTGACGATTACTCTCAATTGCATTATGTGAATGCAGTCTTGATGGAAACTCTGAGACTTCATCCACCTGTGATGGGAGTTTTTCGTGCTGCTCGAAAGAATACCACAATTGGGCCTTATTCCATTCCAGCTGGTACCACTGTGGCTATGGATATTTATTCTGCCAATCGAAGTGAGAAAAATTGGGAGTCTCCACTCGAATTCAAACCCGAGAGATTTCCACTCGATGCAGATTCTCAATTGAAAATTCAACACGATTTCACATGGATTCCCTTCTCGATGGGAAATCGTAAATGTATTGGATACAAATTTGCTTTAATTGAGGCATGCATGATTTTGAGTCGAATGTTGCAATTTTATGAATTGGAATTGCTGAATGATGAGTCAAATCCTAAGGATCGAGTGACAGATATACCTGGAGTGACTGTTCGACCAGGTAATTTGAAAGTGCTTCTCAAGCCAAGACGTGATTTGTAAATATCTGAAAAGACGTTCATTTTTTCGTGATGTCTTCCCGCCTAAGTGGTGAACTCTGCCCTTTCAGAACAATGAACTTAAGTCATTCATATGCAGAAACATTTTAAAAAAAATTCAAAAATTGAATCTCGTGCAGATCATTGATCTTGTTTAGAGTCATCTTTGATCATCAACCAATCCATTCCTTCTAATTTATTGAACCGATCGGATCATTTATTGCTTCATTCCGAGCTTGATCTCTTGATCACCATAATTGATTAATAGCATCCACTCTTTTTTAATTCAAAATGTTCAGTAAAGTAAAAGCAATCAAGGATAGAAAGGCCAATGTTTGGTGCAGTGCACCCATGGCACCCTCTAGTGGTTTCTCTCAGCCTCTTCAATCTCAGGACCAAATGTGTGGAGAGAAGATGAAAAAGTCCACTTGTAAAGAAAGATCTCTTCCACCTCCACCTTTAGTTTCATCTCCCCAACAACAAGTTTGGAGTGGTAGTGCTGTTGCAACAGCAGGTGCTTCAACCACTTTGAATCCAACTGTCAGTTTACCTTTGGACAAGTATTTAGAGATTTTGCAACAATTTCAAAATCAACAAAAGTTTTTAGAAGAACACTTTGATGACTCTGTAATATCTGCTGATGATCAGCCCTATATTGTGAGATCTATGGATATTAAAGGTAGTGAAAATAACGTCCAAAAATCAGATGATTCAATTCCTTTGGCACAACTGATTGGAAAAGATGAACCAGTGGTTCACAGTTGTAAATTTGAGGTGACCTACATGGTTGACATTTTAGAAAATGTATCCAAAAAGCAGAAGGCCATTTTGCAAAAGAATAATCTCTTGTTGAGCAAAAAGTTGTGGACTCAATGTATTCTCTTGTCCAATGTTCAACGCAGAATTGCCTTGAGAAACTGTGTTGTAAAGTTCTTGGGAAATGAAAGCAACGAAAATGAGAAGGTGAATAGTCACATCTCCATTGATGGAAATGACATTATTCTTCTCACTGATACTTCCGGACTCTACGAAGTCAAATTGAGCGTTGATGTCAATTATTCAAACATTGAGAACCTTAAGAATGAAACTTCTCCAAGACAAATCTTCCTTAACCTTCCAAATGCAGTGACCAGCAACTTTGAGTTTTTGATCATGACTGAGAAGTGTCAAGTGAAAATTACCCCTGCACTCTATTTTGAACAATCCAACATTTCTCTCAACGATAAGACAATCACAAGAATATTCACACAACTTCCTTCATTAAGCTCATTGAACATTGAATGGACTCCTGAGGTCACTAACAAGATTGACAAGATACTTCAAGAATCAGCCTCTGAAGAGAAGGAATCTGAGGAGGAGGTTATGAAAGTAACCTTGCCAGTCTCCATCAGCTCCACCCAAAACTCGAGCTGTCTCATTGGAGAAGGTGTCATTAATACCAAGAGTAGATTTGAGTACTCGATTATTAATGGAAGTATTACATCTTTAGAGATTGCCATCAATCCATTTGGCCTTCCATTCAGAATAATTTCTGTGAGTGGTTCCTCCATTAAGGAATGGAATCTTGTGAGTGAGGAAAATAGTGGAGAGGGTGTAAAAGATGAGCAACTCGAAGACGCTCAATCCTTTGTTAACGCAAGAAAGAAACTAGTTGTAACCTTTTCGAGAGAAATCGAGCATTCATATACTTTGGAAGTTCATCATGAGGCAGATATGGGCGGAACCAGTGCATTAGTCAAGACACCGTCTCTCTCTACTTTGAATACTGTGAGAGAGACAGGTACACTTGCAATTATTGCAAAGACTGTGATTGAAATTGTCGAAAAGTCCAGAAAATACTTGAGAAAGATTGACGTCTCCGAGTTGCCCCATGTACACAAGCAGTCTGGTTTCCCTGTCCTGATGGGTTATAGATTCCTCGAGAATCAACACGAACTACAATTAGACGTTATTAGACATGCAGACGTTCCTGTTCTTTCAACGAGTGTTGAAAATTGTAGCTACAGCATTACCTTATCCAGCGACAAGTTGCTACACAAACTAAACATGAACGTCTACAATACCACCAAACAATATCTCAGAGTGACCTTACCAAAACAATTGGCTGGTGCAGAAGTTTGGTCCACCACTGTGGATGGATCCACTGTTAAACCTGGTCAGGAAGTTCGTGGGGATGTCAAAACAATTCTAATTCCACTCAACAAGAAACAAGCAACACTTGCCATGAACATTGATTTTACCTTCACAGTTCCATCCAAAACCATGAGCTCCTCAGGAACGATTGAGGTCTCTCTCGCCAAGATTGACTGCCCTATCAGCAAATTGAATTTAGCCGTATTCTTGCCAAAAGGATACAAGTATGGAGAGTTTGAAGGAAATATTCAAGAAATTAAGAATTCTTTCCTCACCAACACCATTTCTGACTCCGTGGTAGGCCTCAAACGATTTACAAGGAAAAAAGAAATGTCCAGTCAGAAAATAGCACAACTAGATGTTGAACCATTATTTGAAGAAATGCAACAACAGGCCTTTAGTTTTGACAGTGGCGTGAATCCAGTCAATCTTTCCTCCTTAGATACTACAAGTGGACAAATCAAATTCTCTTTCCAAAGAATTCTCTTGTTAGAAAACGAATCCATTACAACTTCAGTCAAGTATAAGGAAATCACCAAATATTGGTTCCAAAGAAGAAACCTCACTGGATTCAAACCAACCACCATGATTTTCATCTCATTGATTATTCTCTTTATTGCCATTGTTGTTTATTACAAACTGATGCGTACCATTGTTATTGAAGCTGCAGATTCCTCTCAAAACTAATCTCTATTTCACAACAATAAATTGACATTACAAAAGCCCTCTTTCTCGATTCATACATGAGAGGTTTGATGAAAGCTTCCCTGAGTTCCACCTCTGATCGTCGGATTTGTGATTGCCGTTCAGCCAACTTGACGTGTAAGAGATGACAACTTAAATGAGACATGCGATTTTCTCCATCAAAAAAAAAGTTTTAACACAACGGATTAGATTCACATACGACAACAACAAAATGGGTAACGTCATTCCAGTGAACACTCTCTTCTTAGGTATTGATGGTGCTGGTAAAGTATGTATCTTTTGATTACTAGTTGTACTTGATAGAATAATAACACATGTGATGGCTTGACCTGCCACTTGTCATTCCCTTTAATCGAAATTTTTATTGTTTTTATTATGTTCTTCTTGTGATGAACCTTCATCTGCCATCGTTATTCAATTTCAATACGGCACTTTTGATTTCATAGACCACCATCATCAATGTTGGTCTCAACAAATTCAAAGCCCTCAAACAAGAGCAACGCGATAGCATTAGTCCAACTTTAGGTCACGATTCTAAGAGATTTGTCGTGGAAGGAGTTGAATTTATTGCATGGGATGTAAGTGATTTACATGATGCTGTCCTTGTGTTGTTGTTGATACATTCATTGATTCATTCCAAATCAATCGATATCATCCTTGATGATTCTTGATGACGTGTTTTTTGTTATATATATTAATGATTATGAATTCAATTTGGAATTGATAATATATTATGTGGAATGTGATCATAATAATGACTTCTTTGATATCAAATGATGATGATGAAACGAATGACACTCTCATATTCACATATTCACCGAATCATTGTCAATGTGTACTATGTGTGAATACTTCGACTTGGAAATTATTGACTGTCTTTCCTCCCATCATCATCATCAACACACATCATCTCGTTGACATTTTCCAACCATTTCAATGATCCGTCAACGGATCCACACTTCTCTTCTTAACAACTTGATCCCCACATGAATCTTTCCATAACATCAACAACAACTCGTTTCAACACCATCAAACATCATCATTCCCATCATCATGACTCGCCATTCTTCCACCCAACAATCCATCCAATAACATCAACAAATCAATCCAACAGTTCCCTGGTAAAGAACAACTCCGTTCTACGTGGAATTCCTACTACAAACACGCTCAAGTCATTGTATTTGTCGTGGACAGTGCCGACTCTGATGAACGTTTAGAAGAAGTCAAGGAAATCCTTCAGGGAATTATTCAAAACGTACAACTCCGTGAATCCTTGCTTCTCGTGTTAGCCAATAAGCAAGACTTGAATCCTCCTCGAAAATTAGATCAATTGAAAGAGTTCTTGGGATTGAGTGGTAATTTGAGTGGTTTGCGTGATCGTACATGGAAGATGCTCGGATGTTCTGCTCTGACTGGAGATGGTGTTGAAGAGGCTTTTGAATGGCTCGCAGGAGAATGTAAGCGTATTGCTAAAGAACGAGAGAAGAAGGCTAAGGAGGAGAAGAAGTAAGAAAAGGGATCTTTCTTGATTTTGATAGATAGATATCATTATATATCATTATTCCTTTCGTTTATATAGAAACACACTTTCCGAGAGGGAGTAATGTAATTCTCTCACTTATTTTTCTTCCACTTTTGTATTTTCCTTTTTCTTCTTCTTCTTCATTATTGAATGGCGACGATGTATATAAATGTTTTCAATTCATGTTGATTCTAAGCTTATATATGATCAATATTTTGTTTGGAAATGATCGAGGTGAAACATGGAAAACAAAATTGTTCACTATTTTTGAGTGTCGTGAGATATTTACATTTTATTATTTACAAAGACACACGCTTTACGAAACCAAAGTCACAAATTAATTGACATACGGCTCCTCAATAAGGCTATAGTTACAGGTCCATTAAGGAGATGTCGCATCCTTGCTATAAATCTTACAAATTTCAACACATTGCTGAGCATGTCCAACAATGTCCAACATTTGATTCAATTGTTGAACCACTCCTTGAACTTGTGCTTCTCCACCGCCTTCAATACTGTTCTTAAACATTCGATCAATACGACAAAACAATTCTGACAAATAATTTCCTGGTCTTGTTCCAGAAAAGAATTAATCTTCAGAGAATATTAATTGCATTCCAGCTTGAACAGAAAATTCAGAAAATACAGCAAAAGGTCTCCTCAAACTTGGAATCAACATCCAAAGACCAGAACAAGTATCAGTAGATGAAGATTGAATAACTGGTCTAGAATAAGTGGTAGGTGGAAATGTGAACACAGTGTTTGAATTTTCATCCACACATCTTCCTTGAGCAGTGGCTTCAAAATAGAGCTTTATCAATGAGTACGAAACGGAAATTACTTAAGAACATATTCATGGGATATCTGATGCCAGTGCTGGTGGAGATGCATTGACCACCAATAGCAGGGAAAAAGAAGACTCGATCTGGAGGTTCTGCATGAGCTTGTTGGCAACAAGCAAGCAAAACAAGAGTCCATAACAACAAAAACAAGAGACGATATTTACACATTTTTTGACATTAGAAAAGAGCAACAAGTGTGAAAGTGAAAATTTAAAGTATGTCCATGGGGTAATAGAGGGACATGAGAATTCAAAAAAGGTCATGGCGTTGTAAAATAGAACCATTCGAATACATATAAACAGTCAATCAACACGTTAACTATCAATCAGTGTTAAGTTTAAATAAATGTGATGTTTGAGCTTTAAGATTAATTTCATGCATGTCATTGTTTTGGTTTTTCCCTGAAAGGTCTCTGTGTTTGATTTCGAAAATGAGCTGTCGGTTGTCACGATTACATAAATTCAAAGGTTCTTGCACGGTCTTTCCCTTCACAATCTGGAAGTTTGTTTTCGATGAAAATGGCAGGAACAAATACACTTATATAAACCTCTTTCAAATTGCGTTTGAATTCTGATGAGTAATTGTTCTGAAAGTCTTAAAATGAAAGTTTAAAATTAATGGACATGCAACCTTTTTCATCACAACCAACTTGATTGGCAAAATCTTTAAATTCCGTAGACACCAAGGCAGAATGAAAGAATCAAAAAATGGACAAACTCTTTTTATTGATCACAACAACATTGATGGTGTTCCAGCAAAAGCTTCCTTGCCAATGTGACGATCGAAGGAATTTGTGCGAATTTATTTAATCAAGTGGTTTTCACAGTTCCACCTACTCAGCTCACAAGATCCATCAGACAAATTTCAACCATCAGCAACCTGCCATGCGAAAAGTTTATACGTATCCTTGGAGTTTTCCAACTAACTCCAGCGAAAGTTTATCCAGATTTTTCATTGAGAGTCACCCTTTTACAATTAACCTTCATGGACCAACCTGAATGTGGAAACCAAACAGAAAATTTGTTGTGTCGTGTGATTCGCATGTATGATCAAATGATTTCTCAAGGTGGATGAGATACATCACTCATTAATGGACTTGTTCAACAATTGAATCATCTCACCGATCAGATAACCCCTATCGTTTAATAGATCAGAATTCATTCATTATTCATGATGACAAATAAAAGAGTTATTCACTCTTTGTCCTGTGACCACTACTCGCCAATAGATCTGATCTTTGGTTCTACTATAGTCTCAGAATGGAATTATTAGTATAAAAAAATGTTTCAAGGTCATTACGGCCCCGCAGGCTTGTTGCATCTTCTCTTCTCCGATGTTTCTTTGGTTTGGTTGATGATTTCAACTCAGATCATTGATATCTGCTATTTTGCTATGAATTTACTCTGTAAATATGTGTGCCAAATGCAAGTGAAGGAATGTCCTTTTATTTGCAGTGAGTACTCGACCTTGAATGTGGAATGGGCGAGAAAGGGTGTATTGATGCCGACCAATAATTATGCCGTATTTTCTCATAGTTTGAGTGGAAGTGTTGTCTTGTCGTTGATTTTGACTGTCCTCTATGTCATGATTCGTGGACGAGGAAAGAGATCATTTCTCTCTCTATATTCAATCATGTTTATGGGTGTTGTTTCTCACTGGTTGTTAGATGTGGTGGTCCATCGTCCAGATATGAGCCTCTTCCCTCCTTGGACACACTCAAGGTTGGGCATGGGAACTTGGCATTATTGGTCACGATTACAAAATCTACTCTTGGAATATTCATGCGTTTTTGTTGGACTTGTTGGAATCATTGCCACAAGAATTATGAATGATGGCATGACCAAGGGAGTTACTTCACAATGGAGTTTCTGGATGGCATGTGGATGTTACAGTTTACTGGCAGTCGTTTTAAATTATGTTGCTCTCTATGATGACACTCCACAGAAAATGACAGAAACGGCCGTGGATGGAGCAGTGTTGCAACCAGATCATGCCATTCCGGTTTTCATCTCTTATGTGATTTCAATTTCCATTTCATATTGGATGGACTCTTCTCGAAGGTCATCCACACAAGATGCATCCAAGAAGAATAAATGAGAATCGACTTTGATGCAGTTCGTTCAAGAATCAAAAAGGCTTTTACACACAACTCACATCGCGCCATTTTTCTACAACAGAAGGTTAAGGGAATAATTTTAAAGGAGAGTGTAATAAGGAAATTGGTGATTTCTTTTTCCAGTTGAAAAAAAATAGATCGACACATATTAACCACAACCATTCAAGAGATTTTCAAAGTGGACGATTGATATAGCCTTAAAATCTCTCATCCTCTGTAATTAGCATCTACGAGTTGACTACGTGGGTTAACCACCCATCATGACCACCTCAATCAAGTCCCAAACGGAGGCTTGTACTCCATTAAACCAGCAAGTTCATTCAGTATTAACCCCAGAATCTATGAATAAGGCTTCACCATGCCAGTCTGACAAGTCGACTCCTATTGACTCAACTGATCACTCTTCCTCCAGTAACCCTCAAGGAGAGATTTCAAACCAAGATGAATTTACGACTCCCATCAAGAAGAAGAATCAAAGGCTCGCTCATTCTCCATGCAAACCTAATCATGGTCATTCAGAACTTCATTCCATTTCAAGTAATACCAACCAGAGCCTCAAGTCAAATGAAAGTTCACCTCTCTCTTTTGAAATTTCTCCTTCATCCTCTGCAGTGGAGAGCGAGGAGGATTTAGAAATCCTGGCCTTTACCTCTCCAATTGTGGATCCTCGGACCAATCACTTTGGAAGGATTCGTGGAGGAGCAAGATTGGAAGACAGCCTTTTGGAAGAGGTGGAAGGTGCGCTCAATTATTTGCAAATTCCTTCCAACCGTAATGAACGAGACTCTGTGGAAAGTGACCTTTCTTCATTAACAACCAAAAGTACTTGCAACAGCGACGTTTGTTTCACTCCAAGTCCTTCCAAGAGTGTTCAAGAAAAGAGCGAGAAACAAGCAATACCTGAGTGGAGAATTAAGGATGGAAAGGAAGTGTCGTCCTCCTCTAACTGTGAGCTATTTTCTGCATTTGGGTCCACAAGAACTCCCGACAAGAGGGTCAAGGACTCACCTTCATCAAGCTCTTCGAATGGAACAGGAAGATTGAGTTGTAGCGCCTCTCCCAACAACAAATGCAAGGGTGCTTGGTTTAACAAGACTAATTCCAATATGATAACTCCACATGCATCAAGTGAGACCGCGAATCTCCAAAGATCACCACTCCACAAAGCGAGCGAGATGGATTCAGAATTGAAAGTTATTGAACTTGGAGCTGAGAACGGAGGCAACATCACACGCATGAACGAGTATGGCTCATGCGATGACAAGCACATTAACAAATGGTTTCACTTACAAAGACATGCTCCTCATGCGCTTCACGTTCACTGCGCCATTTTAAAGCAGAAAGCTCCTTGTCCTTCACTTGTTTCAAATGCTTCCTTAGATTTTGAATGCATGTATCGACTCATGAATCGAGAGGGGATTATGTTGACATCATTTGCAAGATGTAAAAGTAAGGCTCGAGCAAGGAATATTGCGGCTACGTACATGCTGATTCAGCTCTATCCGGAATTCCACGGGAATGTGTTGCAAATCATGAAGTACTTGGATCAGCAACTCAAAGAGAAAAATGTGAACTTGAGAAAGGTCATTATGGACGAGAATGATGTTGCACATCAAGAGAAGACATTCAAACTCATTGACGAAAAGGTAATTAAGGAAGGTTTCAATCCAGTCTCCATTGTCAATACTCAATCTCCACAAGAAGAAGAAAGAACAAAGAGCAGTGAGATTTCCAATGATGTTGAATCGTTCTATTCATCTGACCAATCTTTTTCTTATGGACCATTTCCAATGTTTGATCAGACCACTGATCTTCTCATTCCTTTAGAAGAGCCAGTTAAGGTTTTGAATGAGGTAATCCACTTGAAAGGTTTCAATTACCCAACATGTCGCCATAAGGAAGAGCCAACTACTGAACAGAATACGCAGCAAGGTGACAACGGAGTAACAGTTCTCAAGAGCCATTCTCCTTCCATTCATTCCATCATTATGGTTTTAGAAACTCCCAAAGGAGTTTACTTTTCAGAAGGAAAAAGCTTAGATATTAAGCAAGCAAAGAGTGAATGTGCTTGGAAGATGCTCAACTATTTGTTCCCTTATCTCAACGGGAGCTGGGCTCTCATTGTGAATCAAGTCGAAAGATTGAGAGAGCAAAAAAGAAAGGAAAAATTGCAAAAGAGAGAACAAGTCTTTGGAGCAAAACGAAAGCTCGATTTCTCCAATCTCATGTCCACAGAATCAAGTTCAGCTTGTTGTGAGGATCAAGGAACAGATCACTCCGGCATGTCTCTCCAAGAGAAACAGTCACTCATGAGCTCGAACTCTACCAATGCGTCAGCAGACATTCCTTCTTGTAAGAGCTGTGCTGCCCTTCCAATCTCTCCTCCGCACCACAACGGTGGATATCCATTCTATTTCATTTCGCGTGAGGGAATTCCATTGCAAACACAGCAACCCTTTCCTCCACACATGATGATGGGAGGACCAGTGTATTATCCACCTCCTCCACCTTCTCAATTTTACAATTCATACGCTCATCCTGTCATCAATAGCAACTTGTATCATGATCCATATCATAAGTATCATCCTGTTGGGTTTCTTTCTCAACACAACAACCCTTACTCTCCTCAGCATGCTGGTCCAGTTTGGTTTCCTTATGGAGGATTTCAATGTCAGCAACCTCAACCTCAGCAGCCTCCGTTCAATAAGAACCCTCCAAGGTTTGGATTATTCCAGCCAAGTTCAAGGAAGAACGAGACCAACAAACAGCTGCATCCACACAATCCCGAGAATGCTCCCCAGAGAAAGCATCAAGGTCAAAGCATGTCACCTCCACGTCAATAATCACCTACGGTTGACCAATGCAAGCGCATGTTCATTTGCCTCTTAAATAAAGGGCAGTCTTAATGTTCAAAAAAGTAGAACGCAATGACTTAAGCAAGCCACCATTTACTGCATTGTTACTTTTGCTTCTTTTTCGATTTAGTTGTGGTTTCCTTTTCTTCAGGAGGAGGATTTCCAGACACCTTAAAGCTTACAAATTCGAATACGACAGGCTCGCCTTCCTTTTTCTTTTTTGGCTTTGGACCTGGCTTTTTTCGTTCTTTCACCACTGGTGTGAGTGTGGACGTTTGTTGGGTGTTTTTAGCTGATGTTTTTGAATCTGTCTCTTTTGATGTGTTGTTGGTGGCACCTGTTGCTTGAGATTGGTCTTTTTGGCTGTTAACGGGCTGCTGTTGTTGCTGTTGTGAGGTGTTGGCTGTTGAAGAGCTGCTTGAAGGTGGTTCCATGGACCCTCCTTGCTGATCCAATAACAATGAAGGCGCTTGAGGAATTGGTATCTTGTTATTTCTTTCAGCCATTCTTCGTTTCTGATCTGCAATCGCAAGAGTGGTTTGCTTTGTTGGTTTCATGAGAAATGCAGGCATAGACAAGTTCAGGTTTTTGATTTTGAGTTGAGCAGATAGTTTTCGTTTTGCCATTAGCTCACATTCCACATAAAGGTGATATTCTAATCGTAAATTAATTGACTTTAGATATCTCATTTGTTGCTTTTCTATTTGTACAGCAGGATGATTTTCTCCTCGTGTGATACTTTGAATTAATTTTGTGGTATCATTGGGTTGATTAAATAAGAGAGGTGTCTGATTGAAGAGTTGAGAAAGAGTTCTTGTGAATATCTCAGGTTCGTTTTGTTTGAGGGTAATGGAATTTCCAACAAGTTGTGAAGAGTGTGAAGAAATCATTTGGTCATTATTGGCGCGAGAGGAGAATGTGGATTTCTTGTGGCGTACTGACGATCCATTCATCAGTTGTTGCCATTCATGAAGTTCCTCTTCTCGAGATTCAGAAAGGTCAAAGTGCCTTTTCTCGCTATGATTGCTTTCATTTGATGAAGTTGATGTTTCTTGGTTGGAGGTGCCAGAAGTGTCATCATTTAAAGATGATGCTCGTGAATGATCTATCATATGGTTGGTAGTGTTTGTGAAAAGGCAGGGAGGTAAAAATTGTTTAAGGTACATTCTATGGTGTTCCTTCAATACATTATTCCATGTGTTCATACTGAATATTGTTTTGAATAATTCTGGGTTTTGAATGAGCTCCACAGGTATTAAACAATCATACCCTGAAATGGATACTGGCTCATAAATAGTATCATTTTCTTGTTTTGCAGCTTTCATTTCAATATCATCGTCCATGTCATTGTCGACAACATCTTCAGAAAAAATATTGTGATGTTCATTTACAACATGCTCCAAATATGAATTGGGAATAAAATTGTTTGATTTTTCTGCGCCATTAATTTCTGATTCTTTGACGAAGCACCAAGGTAATCCGTAAATGTCATCTCGTAATTTATCATGGCTATAATTTTTAGAGAAAAAAGGTGGGTCTAATTAATGGCAAAAATTAGTATTTCGAAATAATGATAATAGTCGTGAAAAACATACCTTCGATCTTTTTCAAAGATTTTGATTGCTGAAATTCGTATCTGTCCATAATGAACAGTCGTTCATCGTCCTCTGTTGCATAAATATTGCTGTCTTTTTGCTTTTTTTCTGGAGTTGATTTTGGTAAGATCGTTACTTGTGGAGTATTGTTGACTGTAGTCTCTCTCAGTGAGGTGGCATTGCTGGTAGATGTGGAGGCAATGGGAGGCGTGACAACTGTAGCTGCCTTTGTTTTTTTCTTTTTGGTAGGTGTGACTGTTGCAGAATCAGCTTCTGATTTGGATTTAGCCTTTCGCTTCTTTTTTGCAGGAGAAGGTTCTTTCTCTACCTTGTTGGCATCCTGATCTTTGGATGCTGCTGCCTCTTTATCTTTTTTCCTAGTGTACTTTCTTTTTGCTGGTTTTGTTGTAGATGTGGCTGATGTTGTTGATGAGGTCGATGTCGAAATGTTGGTCGTAGCAGTATTTGCGGTCACAGCGGTGGTTCCAGGAGGTGTTGTTGTCAGAGAGGATGGTTGTTTTGTGTTGTCAGCTTTCTTTTCTGCAACCGTTTCATCTGTTTTTGCTGATGATTCTACAGATTGTGTGGAATCTTTTTTAGTTTCCTTTTTTTTTGTTTTCTTTTTCTTTTCTGGTTTCTCAGCTATTTTCTTGACATCCTTTTTTTCGGAGGGTTTTTCAGTCACCACTGGTGGCGCTACCTCTTTTTCTGTCTTCTTTTTGGTGGAAGACTCTTTCTTGGATGACTTTTTCTTGGGTTTCTTTTTCTTCTTTTTTAATTTCTCAGAAGATGTTGACGATGATGACTCATATGAATCTTCATTCGAAGATTCAGAGTCTCCACTACTACTACTATCATCAGAATCACTCGAGTTGCTACTATAACTTAACATGTCATCTTCCGAATCATAGGCTTGTTTGGATGATGAAGTCGGAAAAGGAGGCATTGAATTCAAAGAAGCATTTGACATGGCAATAAAAGGCTGTTGACTGACTGGTTTGGCAGGTAATAATGGAGTGATTCCTTTCAACGAAGCAGAATGAAAAGGTATAAAAGATGTTGCAAAAAACGGTGTTGATGTTTCTGGCTCCTTCTTTTTAGATCCTCTCTTCGCTGTTGATCCAACGGTATTACTCGATGAAGTCGTTGTAGAAGCTCTTGCAGAAGAAGCCTTTGTGCTATTGCTGCTAGTCGTCGGAACATTTGTTGGGGTGGTGGTTGATGGGTTGTTTCGTACTGATCCGTTATTATTGGCCATCATGAGGGGAGGGGTGGATGGTGTTCCGTAGGAGTTCGTTGCTGTTGTTGTTGTTGATGATGTTGCACCTGTTGATGATGTATTTGTTAAAGGAGGAGGCTTGACAACATTCCTCCAAACAAAACTCATTTTTTTTTTGGAATTGAAAAAAATTTATTTCTCGTTTCGTGTTTCCTCAATAAACAAGATGGGAAATCATTTTCATAGAGACACACTACTTCTGAGTGTCGAAGGTTTTTAACAGGATTTTTAAAAGGATCAATGATTTCACTTCCCAATTTTAAAATTTGTTTTCAAACGATCCGCTCCAAAAACCATTCTAAACATCAGTTTCATATGTTTGTGGTTGTTTCCAACCACGACCTGATATATTTTGGCAACTTGTGTCATTGTTAAAAGTCCATCATTTCAGCACAGTTGTTGTGTTTTGTTTGTTTCTTTGGTTTTCTCTTTTATTTTTTCTGCTGACCCTTTTTTGGAGTTAACCTTCTCACATCTTAATTAATGCTCGGGTCTCGTTGCTGAACAAAGTCAATTGATAAAAAATGCAGAAAATCCCACAAACACCACATCAAATTAATAGTTCGACACAGTAGATTGCCATTAAATACGATAATCATTTCATTGTGTTATTAACAATTTTTCGAGGGTTGGATGATAATTCTGCATCACGAAAAACTATGGAACCAAGTCACACATCCGTGACGTTAACACTCAACAAGTATCTCAACAGTACAGAATACCACAACACAGTTTTTGGTTCCTCAATTTTTGTGTTCGTTATTTCCACATAAAGCGAACCTTTGAATGTTTCGAAAGCCATTTTCTCTAAATCTTGTCTCGAAATTTTCCTCTCTTCATGAAGATCGGTTTTAGTTCCAATAACAATAACTTCAGTCCCAGGTTTAGCCTGTTCTAAAATGTCTTGAATTTTTGGTTTCAACCATTCATTCTTATCTGTTAAATCAATAAGTAAAAAAATACAACTTGCACCTCGATAGTACGAGGTGGTGATGGATCGAAATCGTTCAGGTCCACATTGATCCCATAATTGAAATCTGATTTTGAATTCGTTTCCAAATACAAATGTTCGTAATCCAAAATCAACTCCAATAGTAGCATGGTGATGATTATCTGGTGGAGTGTCATGAATTGAAGCTCTCAAGAAGGACGTTTTCCCTGCTCCCCAAACGCCTATTAAGGTTTAAAAAGATTGTCAACATGAGAATGAATAGATAATGTCCACTGGTGACTGAAATACATACCATCCAATAATGCCTTAATTAGAAAATCATATTCCCGCAACTCCTTTTTTGGAATTCCTTCGTTTTGATTTGACGGTTTGTTTGTGGAAGATGAGGTACTATTGCTACTACTACTTTTTCCAAATAACGACGCCATATAATCCAATACTCCTTTAAAGAGCCCTCCTCCATTGTTAGTTGTGTTGGAATTATTTGTGGTGGTTGTCCTGTTCTGATTTGTTTCTTTCATACAAATGAAATTTGCAAAGTAACCTTTCAAAATAGAGAGCTCACTTTCAAGCCACGGTAAATTGCATTCAATAGTTCTAACATCATCGGTGTGAGGGAAAGCATGTTTTTGTATTTGAATGGCAAGTTCAAACACACATTTACGCAGTAATTGTTTAACAAATCTTTGTCCTTGAATTTTGGTATAAAAATCCATCATTGAAGAAATTTCAAATTGGTCATCATTTTCTTGATGATGAGGGTAAATCTCCGAAATGAGAGTTTTATATTGTTCCTTCACGATCGGAAACACAACTTCATCTCTCCAATGCTTACAAACTTTTGCAACCGACAAGATCAATTCAACCGAATTCAAATATCCAACAATCACTTCAATCAGCTCATATGGTAATTGTTGAAATATGTTTTCTACATGATCAGCAATGTGTTGCATACCATCACGAATATCGGAAGATGATGAAAGATGGAACGATTCTTCTTCTCGGTCATGCATTTTTTTAGGTGATGAAAAATTGTCTCTAGGATCAACTCTTCTTTTAACGATTACAACGGCGGTGGTATTTGATTGGTCGGCATGACGTGGTGAACAAAAATCACAAAGAAAATTGTGACCTTGTTGAAACGGTCTTCATTTGACACCTCAAGCAATGATTATTAAATCTGGCCAAACATGTATTCAATCCTTTCCAATTTTGTAATTCTCTCTATCTATGTAAATATTCCTTAATGACCATCTCGACTCTCCCTTAAAGATTGGATGTGTCATTTCTTTTAATCCTCATTCATGAAAACACCATGAGCCAATTTCCCCCGCTTTATCACATTTCACTTCTTTCGAAAAAACAAATCTTTCCTCTCGCAAAACAGTGTCCATTGATATCCATGTCGAAATTGAATTACAGACCCGAATGAATTGAATACTGAAAAATCAAAAACAGGATAAATCAATGTCGTGAATGAAACTTTTGGTATTTCTTCTGTTTTCAAATCTTGAGGATCCACCAAGAGTGTTCTTACCAACTTATGAACAGCGAAATGACCTCTTACACCATAAGCAACAGATGAGAACGTCCTTCCTGTCCAACCACAGAGAGAAGGATGTTGTCCTCCAATGCAATCTTGATCGTTCTTCAAGGTAGCAACATTGCGATCAACATGATGGACAAGTTGCCAAAACTATTTCTTTTCAGAGAGATGTATTCTCATCATGAATAGGCTTCTGATGAAGGTTTGAAATAGTAACTTTTTTTGCACAAATTCATTTCTTCATTATGGCCTGAGGTGAAAGGGATAATGATTTTTCAACATTCGTAAATCAACAAGAACAATCGAAAACTTCTTTTATGAAATATTTACAAAGCTGATGGATGATTAACTATTTATAAAGACGATATTCTTTTGACTGTCTATTGATTGTTCCAAGATGTGGTCTGGTCCAAGAGATGGTTCATTTGTTTAACAAGTCCATTAATGAGTGATCTATCACCTCCTCCTTGAGCCTTCATTTTTCTAAACATGCGTGCCACACGATGCATCAAATTCTTGACATGGTTTCCACTTTCATTTTCCTCATGTGTGAAGGTCAAAATGAAAAATCTGACATGCACTGCAAAATCTTTCTCAACGATACCTATTCCTCCTTCTCCATGGATTACTACTTGGGGTAATGTCAAAGGTGGAAATGCGCAGTATTAATCTTGAAAGTTGTATGGGTGGAACAGTGAAAACAACTTGATTGGTGTGTCTGTCCACACAAACACCTTCAAAGGTGACTTCAGCATGAAGTTGACCTTTCTCGTTGACAAATCTCAAAGAGATTATTTTGGAACGCATCCTGAGTGACACAAAATCCATTAATTCCATTTCCCAATGAAAGTGAAGCATGTGCTGGAAGGACACAATGTTGAAATATCAACAAGGAAGCAATGACCAATAACAAGATTTTAAACATTTTGTTTGTTCCTTCATTGTTACTCAGTAATGAAATGATTTTAAAGACTTCACATATCGCTTAAGTGGAGGCCTCAAATGGTGTGACCATTCAATCTTTCTTTCTTGTTATGAACAAATGAACCACTTGAAAATGAAATATAATTTGTCAGAGGTACAAAAACGTTTTGTTCCTTCTATTTTCATTGAAAAAGAAACTTCCATTCGTTGAAAAGAAATTCAGGGATGGGTTTATTCGATGATAAACGTTGTTCGATGGTTTTATGTACATTATTTACAAGCCGAACGTAAGATACGTAGTGACTTCCTAGCAGGCACCCCGGAAGTAAAGGTGTTTAAACTGCTCACGATAACAGCAGCAACCCCTGGGATTGGAACGCTGGACCAGTTGGCTGCCACAGTTCCAGAAAAACCACTCGGCCATATGCGGGCAGCTGTTCGTTGAAAAGAAATGCCGAGCATGAACCTTTGCATTCCTGACAACCGACAGCTCAGGTTTCGAAATCAAACTCAAATATCCAATAAGGAATTTCCATATCAAAGATTGAACCAAATAATATTGTCGTTTCCTCCATCACGTTCTGGTGACTACCATGGAGGGAGTGTTAACATGTTGCATTGCTTTTGAAATGGTCTTTAAGTCAAGACTTACAATGAAATGAACATTTCATCTTTCTCCACACGGGTTAACGTTTGTGGAGAAGGATTTGACAGAAAGAACTTTGCACTGAAGATAAACGCGAACAGAAACAACTTTTGAAATGAGTTAAAGGAGTTTGATCTCTTAAGCCATTCGACTGTCAGTCTGCCCATCATTATTGCTAATATCCAAATTAAGTGTTGTCCTGTTTTGTCCTTAATTGTGAAAGAAAAACCATCAAAAAAAATTCCGACCAACAACAAAGTCTTCCTCTCCAACTATTTATTCGTTTTTTCAAACCGACTTTCAATCATCACCACCATCCAACTTGAACATCACCACAATGGTCAAGAAAAAGAGTGAATTGTCAAAATCCGAAAATAATCCTCCGAACACACTTTTCAATCATTGTAATGATGAACAAACTCTGCGCGAAACGTTGCATGCTTTCAAAGTGGTCGAGTTGAAAGATTTGCTCAAAAAGATGGAATTAGGAAAGGGAATTTCAGGACTTCGAAAAGAACAATTGATCGAAAGGATTGTGACTCATCGACCTTTATTACCTTCAAATAATAATGAATTAGAAAAGCCTTCACAATTGGTGAAGAGAAAACACGAACAAGATGATGAAGAAGAGATAAAAACTCCAACCAAGACGTCATCGTCACAAACCACAAGCTCTCAATTTACTTCACCTTCTTCTCTTATTAACTCTCCATTTGCTTCTTTGAATGTTTCAACTCCTGCAGCATCATCTTCGACATCATCCATCTTGCATGAAAGTGTCACATCTCCAAAAAAGAAGGCAAAACTCACAGAAGAAAAACGAAAAGCAAGATTTGTACCCAAGCCAAGTATTGCAACAAAAGAACGAATTGAAAGAGCCATGACTCAACGTTTGTATTTAATCGAGAGAAAGAATAGAGTTGATAACCTTGAAGAGGAATTTGTCGTATTGGGATCGACTGGAAACGTCTACAACGTCAATATTTGTGAGGTCCCGAAATGTTCCTGTCCAGATTTTGAAAAAGGTCATCTCTGTAAACATATCGTAAGTGTGACACGAACGCAACATTATATGTTTTAACTAACTGCATTTATACAACTCTTCATATCAATTATTGAATGGAAATTGTGGATTTGATGGAATATGAATTATAGCTATTTGTATTTTTAAGAGTACTTCGTGTGAGTCAATTTTCCCATTGCATTTACCAAAAAGCTCTTCTTCGTTCAGAGCTTGAATCCATATTCAAAGATGCACCGCCAATTCCTTCTTCCGTCCAAGCCAGTGAACGAGTTGTCAAAGAATATAAACATTTATCAGGTGAAGCTCAAGAAAATTCAGAACAATTTTCAACAGTGAAGCGACGACCTCTCCAAGATGTCCATTGCCCGATCTGTTATGAAACATTTGGTGGATCTGAGAAGACAGATTTCTGTAAAATGTGTGGAAATAATATTCACCAAGACTGCATCAAAATGTGGAAGAGTTTTAATCCTAACTTTCCTTGTCCAGTGTGTCGAGCTCCTCAACTTGGAAATTTAGCTGCGACTGGAAAAGTGGTGGAAAATGAAGGATATGCAAATCTTGCAGACTTTCAAAGTGGAATGACGAGAGAAAGAGAATATTATCATTCGCCGAGATGGTATTCACGAAGGAGATACTATGGTGACGATGATGAGGATTATTATGAATCTGCTTATGAATAAGTAAGGACAGTACTTTTTGAATGAAATGACCATGCGAATTCGGGGCAAAGAGTGAAGCTTTCTTTGGCACGAAGTTTTGTGATGATTTGCATGCTTGTCTTACAATATGGAATGTACACGAGGAGATTGACGACTTTTGACATGATGTCAATCTTTTAATATTTACATTGATTCGGTGGTGTTACATGGATTCTTATGGATGTGATCGATGAAGAAATTATTGGTGGTCTAACAATTCCAAATGGACTGAGTGTCCACATACACCTATGGCAGGTTGATAATTATTGTTTCCACGACAATTAAATGCTTCTCCAAAATCTTCACCATTGATCATAAATCTCAATGAATTATCTTCAAGTATCACTGTGACCACATCTCCAACACACAAGGGTCTTGCATAAGGATATGACTGTTTATGAGTAGTTATCTCTCCAGTCAGAAAAGCTAAACCATAAGATACTTGTTTTTCTCCAATAATTTGAGTCTTTGTGTCAACAATTCCAAAACAAATTCCTCTATTATCAGTTCCTTTTTTAAAATCATGAATTTTCACCTTGTATGAAAAATTGTTGTTCTCTGAATAGGGTGTGTTTGAAAACGAAATGTAATACAAGGACCATCCTTTTTTTTCAAAATTCTTAATGTTCAGAATGGATGACTTGGAATGAGTGAAGAAAAAGGATGATTGTGCATTATTTGTCTTGACAGTTCCTAATTTTTCGACTTCCTGTTCAATTGTTTGAAATGGAACTTGCGTATCCTCGAGATAAATGTTGTGGACTTGAGTGAGGCACACATTCTTAAGCTTGGAAGTCAGGTTAATAAAATTTGTTTCACTCTTCTTTAAGAGGTTGATTTTCTTGATCAGCAATTCATTTCCATCCATCTT